GTTGGGCATCATTATTGGGAATACGCAAAAAGACACACACTGGGGGTTCACCTAGGAATAACGGCGCTAAGTAACTGCCCTTCTTAGGGAGACCATCGCGATTACACCCTCGCACACAAAATGGCTGAACAGGAAGAAGACTTTAGCTCTTTGCCTCTACCAGATAGATTCGCTCACAAGGTCGGCGCTGCGATGTCCTAGACTCCTACACCTCGCGCCCCCTCCCCCCCCCCCCCCCCCGGGGATTATCCCCCGCTTGTTTGGGTTGATGCTGACCCGATCCGGAAATAGAATTGGAAAGTTAGAAAAAGTGGTTATGAAGATGCAACAAAACAGTTCGAGAAGTCACCAGATGAATCGGACCCCGTGTTTCGACCGTTCTTACAAGATCCGGGATTATGGAAAGGGGCCGTTGCAGATGCAAACGTAGCTGCGCAACAGGAAGGCCTGAATGCGTACTGCGCCTTTCTAAAATATTCTGGTGTTCAGGGATGCACAAGGTATGCATATGTTCGGTGTATTGATTATGTTGATGTGGGATTGGATGGAACATTTCTATATACGAATTGGTATATTGACGTTGGATGAAAAAAAATAACCAGGACTCGGGGAACCACAATTCCCGCTATTACTGAAAAGGGATTACCGTCGACTCGCCCTGCAGCCAAAGCCAGCGCATTAGAGGCTATACTGCTTTGTATTGAACTGGATAAGCCGGATTCAGTCGTCGAAGATCTCATCCCCGCCCTCTCCCACAAGCTACCTAAAGTAATTGCACCAACTCTCGCCGCATTGACAGCCGTATTTCACAACTTCGGTTGCAAAATTGTCGACTCAAAGCCAGTTTTGAAAGCCCTACCAAAGGCTTTTGCTCATGCAGATAAGAATGTTCGAGCAGAGGCGCAAAATTTAACCGTGGAACTCTACAGATGGCTCAAAGACGCTATGAAACCGTTGTTCTGGGGGGATTTAAAACCAGTGCAACAACAAGATTTAGAAAAGTTGTTCGAAGCTGTTAAGCAGGAACCTTCACCGAAACAGGAACGATTTACACGAGCACAGCAAGAAGCGATAGCAGCAGCGAGCAGCCAACCAGGTGGTGGGGATGGGGATGCAGATGCGGGAGATGGAGGAGAAGACGAAATGGAGGCAGAAGTTGATGTGTTTGATCTTGCAGAGCCAGTTGATGTGTTAGCTCAGGCGCCCAAGGATCTCCACGAGAAGCTAGCGTCGTCGAAATGGAAGGACCGTAAAGAAGCGCTCGATGCCCTCTTTGCCTCTGCGAACGTTCCCAGGATCAAGGACGGGCAGTTTGACGAAATAATACGTGCGCTGGCGAAGTGCATGAAGGATGCGAACGTCGCTGTTGTGACTGTCGCTGCTAACACTATAGAAGCTCTTGCTAAAGGATTACGCAAAAATTTCGCCAAGTACAAGCCTGCTATTATAGCACCTATCCTGGAACGCCTGAAAGAGAAAAAACAATCAGTTGCGGATGCCCTTGGTCTTGCATTGGATGCAGTCTTCGCTTCAACTAGCCTTTCAGACTGTCTTGAAGAAATATTAGAGTTCTTAAAACACAAAAACCCACAAGTCAAGCAGGAGACCTTGAAGTTTTTGATCCGCTGCCTCAGAACAACAAGGGATGTTCCGTCAAAACCGGAAACCAAGTCAATAGCGGATGCTGCTACAAAGCTACTGACAGAATCTAGCGAAGCCACTCGGTCTGGTGGTGCTGAGATCCTGGGAACCTTGATGAAGATCATAGGCGAAAGGGCAATGAACCCCTACCTAGATGGCCTGGACGACATCCGAAAGGCAAAAATAAAGGAATTCTTCGATACAGCGGAGGTTAAAGCTAAGGAGCGCCCAAAACCCATCGTTGGCCCTCCCAAGGGTTTAAGTGTTCCAGGAGCAGGAGCAAAGAAACCAATTGCCAAGAGACCTGCGGGTGCAGTCAAGAAACCGGCTCCCGCTGCGGCTCCCGTAGAAGAACCCGCCCCTGTGCCAACTACAGCAAAAAAGGCAATTTCCTCAAAACTTGGACTTCCCAAGGCTGGAGGCATGGCAACGCCTGGATCTGGGCTTAAACTTCAAAGAAAGCTCGCGGGGCCAGGGGGTGCGCCTGCATCTCCGCGAAGAGTTGTGTCACCCCCTTTTGAAGAAAATCCTTCCCCTGCTGCTGCTGCTGCTGCTCCGACTCCAGGACCTAAGTTTGGCATGGGTAATCGGGGCCTTGCGGGCCGTTCACTTGGACGAACAGCACCTGCAAATTCCGAGTCTGCACCATCATACGCCGCCCCGGTGTCAGTAAGCGCCGGCATGTCTGCGATCGAACGCGCTGAATTGGAAGAACTCCGCTTAGAAAAGGAGCGGTATTCGCGGATGGTAGAGAATCTACAATCCGAGCGAACGAAACTTATGTCCGAAATCAACGAGCTCCAAAATCAAAATGCACAGCTTATAGAAGACCACACGAGAGATGTGTTGAGTATCAAAGCTAAGGAGACCCAGCTGGTTCGAGCACGTAGCGACGCAGAGGCGGCGGAGCAGAATGTGCAGAAACAGCAGAGGGAAATTGACAGGTTGAAGAGGGAATTGTCTCGCGCTGTGCGGGCCAGCGCTTCAAGTCCGCCAATTTCTACTACTCTTCCCGATATGGGCCTGAATAGGGGAATTGGAGATGGCGGTACATACCAGGACAACGGGAATGGGCATAACAATAACAATAACAATAACAGTAATATGAACGGCCCGCCCTCGCGGCCCGGTCTACATTTCGGCTCCCGCTTCGACAGCGCACGACCTAAAAGTTACATGTCTGCCAGCCCCAGTGAGGAAAAGGAGAACACTAACGGTCTCGAATCGCCTGGTCTAAGTGGTGGAGGGTATGCGGGACGCAGAAAACTTAGCCCCCCTATTGGTTCATCGTATTCGTCTGGCAGGACTAGTCCGGCGAGGATGTCTGCTGGTGGGCGGACAGGGTCGAGCGGGGATGGGTTACCAACTGCGTCCGCGTCGATATCGCAAGGTGAGCCGGCTGAGAATTGGAAGAGGGCCGCGGAGGTTACGAGTCAGTTGAAGGCGAGGATTGAGCAGATGAAGGTAAGCTTTTTTCTTTTTCTTTTTTCTTTTTCTTTTTTCTTTCTTTTTTTTTTTTTTTTTTTTTTTTTTTTTTTTTTTGATATTTCCTTTAGATTATCCGTCGTGTCTGTTGGGGCTCGATGTTTCTAAAAATTAATTTTATACGGATATCCGTTAACTGTGTGTTTAATTTGGATGTCTTTAGGCACGACAAGGACTTTCTCGACCGGCACCAACATAGTCCGTTCCACATGGGAGGGAAGAGAGATAATAATCCATTTCCCATCGGCTAGTCCACCCCCTTATATATAGCCCTTTCTTAACTCTTGCTGTTCATCGCTCTCCTCTTTAACGATTGTCATTGTCATTTTTCATTTTTCATTTGTTTTTATATATCTTCCTTTGCCCCTTTATCCATTTATTTCCTGTTCTCCCTCCTTTCCCTCCTACGTTTTGTCCTGTTGAACATTGTCAATACCCCCAAATCAAAAATTTATTTTTATATATCTTCTGCACCCTTTTATTTATTTATTTATTTATTTATTTATTATTATTATTATTATTATTATTATTTTTCTTTCAAATCCTTTTAGTTTCCTGTGTGCTCTCGTTCTCTCCTTTTTGTTTCTGTTTCTGGCTCTGGAATGTCAGGGGCATGGAGGAAGGCGTAGGAGGACCTAAAAATGGACAACCATAATTCAGTGAACCAAAAAAATATGCTTTGATATAAAATCTAACCCAGGGCTATTGACCACTCATTCACACATGTGCTCTGATGGGATGGAATGAGGGTTTGTTTTTTGTTTTTGTTTTGACTGATTTTGTTCCGTGTTTTTGTTAATAGCTTTTTTTTTTTTTTTTCTTTCTTTTTCCTTTTCATTTTTTGGTGGTTTTCTTAATGCCAGGGTGCTTTTCCTTGTCGATTTATCCCTTTTCCTTTGGCTGGTCTATTTTCCTTCTTTTGCTTCTCAACTTCCTCTCATTGAGGTCCTCCACCAAGCAGTTCTCCTCCTTCACAATATCTTTGCCAAGATTTGAATGTTCGCGTTTGTTTGCGTTTGTTCACGACTGTTCGCGTTTTGGACTCGCTTTCCCCCTTTACCTTTGTTGGCTACCTTCAACTCCTGCAGTTTTCATCTTTGAGGAAGAGAGTAGTATTGCTGTCGACAATATATTATAATTCTTATGATAGAATCTTGGGTGTTTTGTTGTTGTGAGTTGAGAGGGCGGTGATGACTTGGCAAGGGGTGGATAATAATGTATATGGAGTTGGATAATAACGAATGAGAGCTTGATTATTTTGGGCAATTTACTTTCCGTTGGAAATACTTGAAAATAACTAATTCTGTAGTTGTAATGTAAGCGCTCAAAAGAGCTGAATATTGAGTTGAAATAGATGATCGGGATTTGAACGATATAGGCGTTTTACCAACCATGGATTGACTTCGAAATGCACTAGAAAGAGCTACGCAAGAGATACTTGAAGACTGTTGTAACAGGAATTATCATGTGGTTCACGTGTTAATTGATTTTGCTTAATGGGAAGATGCGCCCAACGGGTATATGCTTAATTCATACATCATTGGAGAAAGAAAGGACCAGAGGGAGAGAGAGAAAAGAGAGTTAGGACCAGTATGCATGGGTTAATGTTCATTCGGTACAGAAGATCATATTCAGCTCGCTGTTCCTTTGCCTCTTCTTCCCTGGTTTAACCTATGGTGTTTTATGGCCAGTCCTCCCGTCACCATGGGGAGAGGACCCAAAAAAAAAAAAAAGAAAAGAAAAGAAAAGAAAAGAAAAATATGGAGGAAACGCCATGCAAAACTAACTCCGAACCGAATTAATTTTCTGTAGTGATTTTATCATTTTTAATTAAAAATCGTAACCATGGGCGATGGGGCTAAAGATAAAACGATTTAGAGCTTGATGGCATTCTCGGCGGCCTTGCGTCTCTTGGTCTGTCTGGCATTGGCCTTGGCACCCATAATACCTCCACCCCAGTGGCGCTTGCTCTCCTCGTACTTATCGCTGTATCCCTCCTTGATGGCTGAGATAAGCTTAGAGAGCTCAGTTTTGTCTTCAGAGCGGACTTCAGTCAGAGCAAGGACGGCGGCAGTCTATAGTTTGTTTAAAAAAAATTAATATAATGATTTTTTTTTTAGGGAGTTATAAGAATGATAAGTTCCAGGGCGATTAGCTTTGTCTTACCTTCTTGTGGACGACAGTTCCGAGTCTAGCCTTGCCCTTGATAATGGCATATGGAACACCCATCTTGCGGCACAGGGCGGGAAGGAAGACGACGAGTTCAATAGGATCAACATCGTTGGGAATGAGAACGAGAGAAGCTTTCTTGTTCTCAATGAGGCCGACAACGTGGTTAAGACCGTACTTCACAGCATATGGCTTCTTGCTGACGTCCTCTTTTTTCTTGCCGGCCTCGATAGCGGAGGCCTCCTTGAGGAGACGTTCCTTCTTCTCAGCCTTGGATTCTGGGCGGTATTTGTTCAGAAGCTTGAAGGCTTGGGCGGCGGTGTTGCGGTCCAGAGTGTTTTGGAATTGGGCGATCGCGGGAGGGACCTTGAGGCGGAGGTTCAAGATTTTCTTTTGGCGCTGGAGACGGACGTATTCAGGCCATTTCACCATGCGCGAAAGGTTGCGCTTTGGTTGGATATCCTGGCCAATGCCGAAGTTGCGGGGGCGCTTCTCGATAAGAGGATTCTGCAGATTTTGAGTCAGTGATTTGAACTTATAGTTCTGAGGACACTCTACTTTGGCTGAGAGGAAAAGAAGAATAAATCGACATACCTTGGGAGCCTTCTTAGAGCCAGCCTTTCCCTGGGGGAAGGGGGCGGCCGCGACTTTCTTTCCTTTGGGAGGCTGTCATTGAGAAAAAGAAGAACATCAGCGAATCTTGTTCAGCTAATTCTGTATCTTCTTTTGAACTCTACAGAGACGATGGGCTTCGCATTTCTGCTCTGCTCACTACTCAAGCCAAGTCATCGCCATCCACAACCATTCTCGTAGAGAGGCTGGGGTGTGGACAACGGAGATTTTGGGCTTCATCGAGCTTGCCATGCTCTGTCGAAGACACTCAGGTCACCAACAAAACATTGCAGAGGCTCGAGGAATTATTCACATGTCATATTGGAATTGAAATCTTACCATTGTTATCGGCGTTGGTCGAGGTTGTCGTGGTTTCGTTGGCTGGCGGGGACGAGGAGAAGAGGGAAGAAGAAAAGGAAATCGTGTGTTGAGGTTTTGAGGGATGTTTTGGATGTGCATAATTACTGAAAAGGGCTTAGCGTTGAATGATTTAAGCGAAAGTTGCCCTAATCACATGGATGATTCCTGACTAAGCTTATTTTTCCTATTCAGGACTAGTGCCATGCATGTGCATAGCCAGACAATGCCAACACAGCATCCCAACAACCGCGGAAAAAGGGACTCGACATCGCTCCTAATTACTCTTATGTTGAAATGTGCTTCAGTCGTGTTTAATGCGGAGGACGTGTTTAAAATGAATCGCCAAATTGCCACAAACCCACATGGCCTAGTCCCAATCGGCCAGTGAATACCATGATGGAGACCACGAACACGACTGGTCCAGGTAACAGTGGATCCATCATTCACTCAATGGTCAGGTGAGTTCGTGGCAATTTGGCGATTTAGCACGTCCTCTCTATCAAACACTACCGGAACACATAATGCAATTCAATTAGCGACGAGCCCAGGTTAATTCGTTGAGCTACCCGCCCTAGTCAAGCCTTTCCCGTGCAGGGCTAGCGCCCGGCGCTTCCCATATGTCTCTCTGTCCACCTCACCTACATTCGATGTCCACGGTACACCCATGATCAACCTGGCCATCACATGGAACTTTCCGGGTCAAGTGCAAGTAACTAGGTATGGCAGGTGGGATTATGTAATGGTCACTGTGTGTGTGCAACATATGGACTAGATGTGCATACAAATATATTAAAAATGAGCATGATTGTGGAAGATGAGATGATCATATTTGGAGTCAGAGAATTATCCGCCTATGTGGGGAGTAATTCTCATAATAATCACACCTAACACGCTTTCGACTCTTTGGAGAAAGCATTCATGAAAGGTATAGGAAGATAGGAAAAGAAGGGGGTATAATGTCTCTCACATGCACTCATGACCTCGGTTCTATGAACATCACCACCCGAACGCCGAAAAGCCGTAGCTCAGACTCTGAAAACATGCCATACCATTAGGAGGGCATCCATGGGTATGTAAAAGGAAATAGAAATCACACCTCATCTCCAAGGCACCCCTAGCCCTGGAACCCCCCCCCTTCCAATCGCCGTGCTCCCGGCCTCCACGGCCTTCCGCTTCCCCTTCGACCCCTCCTGACTCTTAACACCTTGCACAATCCGCTCAAAGATTCGTCTCCACCACAACCCCGCCCACAACCATCTCGCCAAGCACCGCATGCATTGTCTCAAAACCAAATATAAGATCCAGCTCGCATACGTTCTCGAACAAGCGGTCCAGCGCTTCGACGAAGACTTGGATCAGATCAATCAGGGCGAGGGGCGATTCGGTGGAGGTGGAGATTAGGATGAAGGAGAGGGTGGCGTAGGTTCTGTAGGTGATTTGGGTGGGGGCATCGGAGAAGCCGTTGGAGGAGTTAGAGCTGGCGCCTTCGGCGAGCAAAGGGGGGAGGGGGAGGAAGTTGCAGGCTGATGAGGGGCGTTGGGAGACGAGGTTGTATATCTGTGCGATGAGGGATTGTTGGGTTTGTGTGTCCTGGTTTCGAAAGAAGGGTTAGTAATTGTTGAATACACGAGGAGGTTATATCTAGGATGATTTGAGTGGCAGCGATGTAATTTAGTACTAGGGGATAGTGGGTTGTATACATACAAGCTGGGTGTAGAATTTGGTCAGTCGAGGCTGACCACTGTTATTAAAGACCAGCACAGCGTTTATCATGGCGTCTAGCTGCCGGGATATGTGACAACGATGTACCGCTCGGGGACTGTTATGCGGTGTTGAGAATCCCAGAAGTGTGAATGTGTTGTGGTTGTTGAGAAGTTGCCGTTTGCTCTGTTTGTCTTGTTTGCTGTGTCTGCCTTCTTACAGAGCTTCCCGGCAAAACAATAACCCGGTCATCTCATCAGCATATTTTTGAGCTTCCAACGGCCCGCATCGAAAATATCACAACCAGTTGACAAATCCCAACCCGTAAATACTCTACGTACTCCCCAATGCCGAATTCCCCGGTACCTCCGCATCCCCCCCCCCCCCCAACCTCCTAGAGCATGCACATGCCACAGGCCCAAAGATTTTTAAAACATCAGGGAAACCTAGAAAACTATGGCCTTCGCCGCCTCAAAGCTCGCAACATCCACAGGCCCAAACGTAGCCAAAACCTTCCTCAGACACACAACCAAATACCCCGAACCCTCCCAACTAACCCTAAAAGAGTACGCCTTCTACTATGACACCACTCCCCCTTCCCTCCAACAGCTACAGCATGCCGAAACCTTCTTCAAATCCTCCAAACACTCCCCCATACAGATGTGGACCGCAAGTGAATTCCGCACCATACCCATGTCCAATGTGCCCGAGGTGGTGTTCCTGGGCAGATCGAACGTGGGCAAGAGTTCGCTGCTGAATGCGCTGATGGAACGGGACGTGTGCTATACGTCGTCGAAGCTCGGGCGGACGCACACGCTTAATGCGTATGGGGTTGGCGGGAGGAAAGACGGGGAGGCGCGGGTTGTCCTAGTTGATACGCCTGGATATGGGAAGGGGAGTAATGAGAAGTGGGGGGAGGAGATTATTAAGTATTTGACGAAGAGGAAGCAGTGAGATTTTTTTTTTTTTTTTTTTTTTTTTTTTTTTTTTTTTTCCCTTCTTCAATTATATATTGTTGTTGCATTCAAAGGGGAATGCCCAACGAAGAAAATTAAAAACAAACAAACAAACAAACAAACAAACAAATAAATAAATAAATAAATAAATAAATAAATAAAACTCCCGCTAACCAAAACCAACCCAGACTCCGGCGCACCTTCGTCCTCGTTGACTCCCACCACGGCATAAAACCCGGCGACCGCGACGTCTTCTCCCTCCTCCGCTCCGCCGCCATCCCGCACCAAGTCATCCTCTCAAAGGCCGACTCCGTCCTCGTTAAGGGCAACTCAAAACGCGTCCCCCGCGGTATCACGGAGGCCAAAGTTCGAAAACTCGCATCATTCGCTGAGAGGATTCTGTCCAAGGTGCAGCCCGATCGAGACGTGGGGAATGGCGGCGTTGAGTTGGGAGTTCCGGCGTTGGGGGAGATTATTGCCTGCTCGGCGCGGGTGATGAATGAGTATGAAAATTATTTGGGGATTAATGCGATTCGATGGGCGGTTCTTCGGGCGTCCGGGTTGGGGAGGAACGAGGAGATTAGGTATATAGGGGGAAGATGAGGAAGAACTGGAGTAGAAAGCAGGGAGCTGAGATTTTTTTTAACTATCTGCCTAACCCACCTCACGTTTATTTTACCCCCCTTTGGTTTACTGGCTAAATCAGGGCCTTTTGGTTGTTAGGGAATCAGGTTATCTCTCTGGTTTTCATGTGTTAAATCTGTATATATATATGTATATTTCTGTTAAAAGTTAGCCCTGCCTTCTCCGACTTTTCCATTCTGTACGATAGATATCGTAATGGAGTTTTACAAATGTAAAGATCTCTGTTCTGCCCATGTTTAAAACCCTATCACACTGAATGATCGGACTAATTACCTATGTCTATCTCGATCAAGCAACACTTACTACAAAGCATATTTGACCACAAGAGGCATTTCCAAAGCCTTGCAAGTAGCGTATGCAGAATTACACATATATAATTCTCTACAAGATCATGAACGGAAAGTTGAAAATACTACTTGATCAATAAAATCATAAGAAGTTATCATAAGAGAGAGCTTAATTCTCAGAACACCTCATAACAAGAGAAACTAAAAAAGAAAACAACAACGAAGAATATATATAGTTTTAATAATAAAAAAAATTAACAAATAGTAAAACATAAAAACTAACTTATCGCTTATCACAACAGAATATCATAGAAAGGTATCATTGCATGCCTTGCAAAAGACAAAAAACAAAGAGAAACATGGGAAAAAAAATAAACCATCACACTCACTGTAGATATACATAATAGACAATAATCCCAGAAAAACAAAAAGCTGCAAAAAGCAACAATAAAATAAACACAAACATATTCTTTCCCTCCTTCGGAAAAGAAATAGAGACAATGTCGATCAACAAAAGGGCTTTTGTATAAGATGATATACACACTTCCACTATTCCGTGTCTTCCAGTCTGGAGCTTTCCCCACAAGCATTCCCCCCACAACCCGACGCGTGTACTACATGCCCCTTTTTGTTGAAGAGAAGGTGAGAGTCAAAGAAGAAAACACTAGAGGGCAAAAGATGAATCCACCGTATGTACTACTCTCACCAGCAACGAAAGGGGGAAAAAAGAGAACCGAACCTCATTTCCTCCAATCCCAGAAGCCCCATGGTCCGGAAAGTGTAAATGGGGTAGTCGGAAAGCAGAATATCATACCACATCATGATGGATTCGGAAGATTAACCGGGGACTGACAACAGACAATAAAAGATGATGTAATGATTATGTTCAACAAGATAAAAAAGAAGAAAAAGAAAAAAAAAATAGGAAAATAAACAAACAAACCATTGATCAAGAGGAAAGGGGTCAATAATGAATCACGGAATATAACGTAGAATATACTGGACTGTAGGTATGAGAATGAAAAAGAAAATGCATAACATAAACCGCGTTTTCCCCCTTGGAAAAAGGAAAGCGGAAATAAATTCGAAGCGTAAGATAGTGACAAAACAGACAGAGCGAAGGTCTTGTCTTGTCTAGTCATCCGAACCCTCCCGTTCAGCTCCGCCTTCATTATCCCCAATCTCTTCGCCATTTCTATCAACAACGATTCTCTTTCCGAGACGTTCACTAGGAACTCGGTCGCGAGATGCACCAAAGTCAAGGACCTGCATTGTTTCAATACGGTTAGCCCATGAAACAAACAAATCACCTCCAAAGGAAAAAGAAAAAAAAATACAAAGACAGGAAGGGAGAGGGGAAAAATACACACCTCAATATATGTCAACCTATCCCTCTGCACGGCAGCCACACACCTGCGATCATTAAATCTAACCTGCCAAACTCCACTGAGATCTGTCAATAGATCCTTCAAACACTTCCCCGTCCGCGTATCCCACATCTTCAACGTCCGATCCGACCCAGAAATCACCTTCTGGTAATCATGCTGGAAACACGTAATCGCACCCGTGTGCGCAGTTAATACGCTCTGGCACTTCCCCGTCTCTGGATCCCAGATCCTCAATGTCGAATCCGCAGCTGCGGACACGAGTCGATCCTGTTGAAGATCTAGAAGCCCCACGAGCGACGAGTGGCCTTCGAGGTTATATATAACTGCGCCGGTGTCGAGTGACCAGACTTTAACTATGCTATCCATGGAGCCGCTTATGCAGCGGTTTCTTTTGTGGTCGAGGACGACGCTATAGACTTTCTGGCTATGGCCTTGTAGATGATGTACAGACTCGCCGGTGGATATTTTCCACACCCTCACTGAACAATCGTAGCTGCCACTAACCAGTGTATCCCCGTAAGCAGCTATGGCGCGGACTGAATGGGTATGTCCAGTTAGAGCACGGATAAAGTACGGGTTTTCATTGTCGGGACTCGTTTGGAAAAACTTGGGATCACCTGGTTGAGGAAGTTTCCAAAGTCGTAGGTTGGAATCGCGGGATCCAGTGATAATCAATGGCTGTTTTGGCATCATGTTTGGCGATCCATCTGGCAGCTTACCAATTGCGACCGGCATTAATATCTGCAAACATCTCACAGTAGACGTGTGTCCCTGGAAAATCTGCGTGCATTCGGCAGATTCAATGTCCCAGACACGCACCGATCTATCCGTTGATCCTGAAACAAGCGTGTTACCATGATACTCTAGCGCCCAGACGCCTCCCTCGTGGCCCTCTAGGGTTGCTCGCAACGCCCCCGTTTTCGTATCATACACGTTAATGTTGGTATCATCGCTTCCGGTGAGGATTTTGTCTGTATCAAACTGCAGGCACGTAACGACATGACGATCATGGGCGCGGAAGGCAATGTGCATCGGTTTGATGTCATTTCGCATCCATGTTTTGTGGATGAGGTGGTGCCTTTGGTAGAGGGATTTGTATAGGTGCAAGCTTCGGAGCGATGAAAGTCCAACATCCGGATAAGGAACTGCTAGTGCAGCTGCGTTTGCGGCCGCATAGGGGCTCTCTGCAGCTACCATATTATCCATCCAGTTGACAGGTTCTAGACGATTGGACTGAGCAGATACTCCAGATTTCCTTTTTGTAAGCTTCCGACTGGTGACTCTGGTTGCTGCTTTGCGTTTTGGTCGTCGGGATTCTACCGATAGGGGACTTAGGGCTTGTCTCGTCTTACGAGACGATAGCCATGCCAAGGATGAGGTAGATTCGATCGAGTTCTCGCTATCAGATTTAAGGGAGGTAGAGCAACGAAGATCTTTTTCATAATCGTCACCCGGGTTCGGACACTGCCATCCCCAACCTTCCTCGATGGCGCGCTGTAGTTCTCCTCGAGGCAAAACATATCCATCCGACTCAAAAAGTTCCTTCCATGATTTTTCATCGGAGTTGATGATGTGTCTCCATTTCTTCGAAACTTGCGAAGCTCGACACATAGTCTTAACATCGAAATATTTTACAATATTCAGACTGAGTTCCAGGGGTAGGAGAGCCAAGAAATCGCATTTGAGAGCTGGATTAACAACTCCAGCGACAAAGCGTAATGTAGGCTTCGGGCATCTTCGCAACAACTGGTACATCATGTACATTTTGAGTTTATCCGGGACAGACTCAAAGTAATCCAACATTAAAGGCATGTCCATTAACGACAATGAGGGTGATGGCAGAGCCGCACCATAGCCTTCCTCTTTCCGAAAAAGGTCCACGGTGAGGTTTAAGTCAGAGTCAGCCTTTTGTTTCTTCGAACGTTGGTCAAAACTGGAATCCGTGTCGGTCTCTTGCTCGTCAGCAGAGTCAAAAGATGTATCGAGATTTTGAGCATTCATAGCTGTGACAGGAGAAAGACTTGGGCTTGGAAGGCACATGTCTTGGGCAGCAAGACTATCAACTGGCAGTAGACGTCTTGCAGGCGCCTGGGGCCCTCTCCAGGTTGGATTTCCAGCCGAACAGTGTCTGCGACTTTGTCTCAAAGGAGGCTGTCCCACATCATCACCCGGTTTTGAATTATTCTCATAATTACTATTATGATTATGATTATCGAGCGTCGACTGACAGGCGAACTCCTCAGCACTTGATCCCGTCCGACATTCAAACAGCGGTGATTTCTGGATCTGAGAACCAACAAACCTGACGTTTTCTTTGTACGATTGGGGTACAGGACTGAGGAGATTTTGGTTCTCTTGGGACACAGATGTCGGGGAGTGTTCGAAGGACGATTTACCAAAGGAACCCATGCTGCATATTTGTCGACGGTTGTTCTGATCGTTACCAATGTTGAAGCTGCCGTGCTCCGTTTCTGGAGTAGCCAAACCAACGTCTTTGTGAAGCCGAGCAGCGTCCAGGTGTGACTGAGCATTACGACGGCGAGTGATGGAGTTTGTTCCAAGGGAGGCGGAAGAAGAACGCGTTCGCTTCATTACATGGGAGGATTCCGGAAGAGAAATGGGTGATACTGGACGTCGTCTTAACCTTGATGTGATGGGGGATGTTTGGTGGGGGGGATCTTGTCCTAAACGCGAGCGTCTGGGTAGCGTGGTTTTGCGGGAGTCGCTTGTGGAGACGGATTGAATAAGACCATTAGAAGCTTTCAAGTTATCACGCTGCTCTTTCAACTGTTCTACGCGTCAGCAGCTGGAATATTTTCATGAACACAGATGTCGTCTACTTGATGAAAAATGGACAGAGCAGGGGTCAATAACAGATAAATAAATTAAACTTTTACCTTGTCGAAAGTAGCCAACGAGTCCTCAGTCTCGTTGAATATGATGGACGTATCCCCAAGTTTAAAATGGATATCTCTTATGGAATCGGGCGTCGGGGTAGACGCCAGAGGGTAAACATTGGGGTCGAGAGGTTTTGAAGAACCAGGTGCTTTCATGACTAGTGGAGGGAAGTTGGTAGTTGTTGTGGTAGTGGTCGTGACGACGGTCGTTTGGGTGGCGGGAGCAAAAGAAAATTGGCCGATTGAGCTGTTGGAGGGAAGATGTTCCAGATAGTCCATCTTGCTATGGCAGCTCCCAGCCAGTTCGAAACTAGATGGGAATGTCTGAAATGTGGGAGGGGGATTGGGAGACTCTATTGGGGACGGTGACGGGGACGTGTTCTGGGTCTGAGTTTTCGAGGTGAGGTCTGCGGTGTCGTTGGGAGTCTCCGCTGAGCAGGACATAATTGCAAAGAGATGAACCGAGAAGTAGATGGGTGGTGATAAATATGAAGGGAGGAGGAAATGTATCTAGCCCGTCCACGCAACAAGCACTCATATACACATACACATACACACGCGCTTTTTCTATTTCTGTGTGTGTGTGTGTGTGCCTAGGAAATAGTTTTGGAGCCCAGCATAATAGAAGAAAATCTCTCCCGAGTCGTGGCTGGGCCAGTTGTTTTCCGATCAAGTCATGATAGGGAGAGCGGAGAACGTGTCGAGTTGAAGGACAACTACCAGATCAACGAGGCTAAAAAGAGGCTTCGACACGTAACAGAATAGTGAGGGAGATCGGAGGAAGGCTGGTAGCTGCAGACGGGAAAAAGGCTAAAAAGAAAGGGAGTGACGAGTGACAAGTGGACGAGGGACAAAAATGAGGTAGTCTCGGGAGTGGAAGACCAGATATGATGGTGGTTGGTGGTGGTGGCGGTGGTGGTGGGAAGAAGTGGGTTGTGGAAGGGGAGATATTTCGTTCACCCCGCTAAGATTTGCAATTTCGGTGTTTACTTTCTTGGGTTGAGAGGGGAAAAAGCTTGGAATCGACCAAAAAGTTGAGAGAAGGGGGAGCGGGAAGCCTAGTTAAGTGGAGGGGTTGTTGAGAGGGTGGTTGGAGTGTGAGCAGATGAGATGAAGTTGAGATGAAGTTGAGATAGAGAACAAGAGAAGAAGAAAAAGAAGAACAACAACAACAGTGGCATAGAGCAGGAAGGTACGGCAGGGGGGGAGAAACCAGCAGCAGAAAATCGGGAAGGAGCGAGGGGGAAAGAAGGCTGACAACGCAAGGGAAGGAAGGGGGGAGGGAAAAGAAGGAGCCAGAATGGGGACGAGGGGCAGAGTTTTGGTCCCATCCAGTGTGGCTCGTGAGCGAGTTGAGCCTGAGTTGGAGGAGCAGCTGTCTTGGGGCAAACGTCTCAGACGGCGGGCTGAGCTCAAGTTGGAGCCTTTGGGACCCGATGATGATGATCCTTCCGAAGGCCTGTCGCCTGTCGCCTGCAGGAGACTGACCAACAAACAACCCTGGGACAACCTGCAGAACATCCAGTAAAACACAGTTACATTTACGGTGTACGGTGCATATTCAACGGTTTATCCTTTTCTTACTTCTTCCTCTCAAATGATATATAAATTAATATATTACACCATCTCTTGTTCTTTCTTTCTTTCTTCCTTTCTTTTTTTAAACGCATCTATAACTACTTCAAAATCAAATATCCCAAGGGGTGGGGGTAGATCTACGTCACTCCATCCTAGGTCGGGAACGCCTCACTTTCAAGACTAGTTTTCACTAAATAAAATCTTCAGGCGTCAGTTAAGATTTAGGGCCTGCAGCGCCTAACTCTCAACTGCTGTCACCCCTACGAAAAATCACTATGCTGTCCCCGCCGGACAAGTAAGTGTGTATAAATACCTAGGAATATATACCATTGACTTCCCCCATTCTGTCCACTAACCCGGACTTTAGTCCCCCCTTGATTCTTCACAGTCCCCAAGGTGATGAAGAGGTTAGAAAATTCTCTGATCCCATTCGCGCCTACGCCCGTCACTGGGTCCCAGGTGGGGCCACACCCAGGCAGTTGACTCCACTCCCAAACTCGGGAAATATTCCTTGGACAGGCAATTGAAACCCAGGCACTCGCGTGTGTCATGTCCCGCACGTGGAAAAGGGGCAATCAAATCGATTTCGATATCGAGGCCGTTAGCCAAGCTGCTTATGCTTTGCTGGGCTACTCGAGAAGAGGTTTGGAGAACAACTTCCCCCCCCCCCCCCCTAAAGCATCAAAATAAGCAGCGGCCTCGTTCGTTCTTCGCTAGTAGAATGTCCTCTCAGCCCGCACCACCGCCCGCTAAAGAGCTCCTTGCCACCCAGGGGAATTTTTGGAAAGCAAGCTACGAATCGGTGTTGTGCATCTCATGATGAAATCCTCTTTTCCCCGCAGCGGACGAGGCCTGCCCCTTCATGAAATCCTTGACTTTTCCACCTCGCCCAAACCGGGGGCCTCCATTCTCTCTCAATCTTTCCAGAATTTCACCAACAGGCACAAGAGCGGGAATGCAGTTAAAATTCGTCGCTGGTGTAATGATTCCATTCAGCATATGTTGTTCGCCCCATTGTTAACAACTTCAATCCCTTCACCAGCTCCTCATCGATGACCGTTGTTCCGTCAGGTCAGGAAGGGGTAAGCCACAGCGAGTTTTCAGCAGCAAGCGGATTTGGGAGTGTTTGGCAAATATCAACCTACACCCACCCCCTTATTGGAGGTGAGCCAGCTGCAGGCCATATATGCGTTTGTCCCCGGCTGCCGACACGGATGTCGAAACCGGGACTTGCTTCCATGACAATCCCTCCCCTCCCCTCCCCTCCCCTCAACAGGGGCTATCGTGTCGTCAATTAACTGTTTGTTTTGCGGTCTCGCCACGATTTTGATTGTGGTGGTCATCGTCTTGGGTGGTTGCTTTCTGCACCATGAAAACGACAGGCATTGTGATGACAGCTGCTTTTAAAAATCCACTGCGTCTGAAAGACTAGTCTTGATTACCAGCTGGATCGAGTTGGGGGGCCCCTTATCATCTCAAGGGGTGGAGATTAGACGGGTTATTGACCCTTCGCGGCAAAGGGAGTGGGATTTTGCATGAATAAAAGAGAATGGATAGTGTCAATATCTTCAGCTGCAAGGGCAGGCTATTACATCGCAGCTTCTATGGCCACTGTGTAAGTTTTGCGAGTCACGTTTTGAGAGTACCTAATATCTGCCCCACCGCTCGTCATAGGCCGTTACCCAGGTACTGGTACGGTGGACATGAAATGTAGACGTTGTCGTCATTCATCTGGGCAAATCTTGCAGGTGAAGACTTGGCATTCCCTCTCTTCGATCCCCAGAATTTTGGACCGCCCACAACCACAACCACAACCACAACAGCTTCCTGTCTGTACACCCGTTCCATTTCAAACCCTCAATATTTAATATCTTTGCCAGCTAGTTACTGTTCAAAAGGTAACCTCTAGCTTTTCGCTATCGGCTTCAAATTATTTCAAAAATTTTCCAACCAACGCTACAAGCCCCTGCGGGTGCTGCAAGCTTCAGGCTGCAGGCTGCAGGCTGGTCACCTTCGACACTCCAACCGAGCAATTACCGAGAAACCCTGCCTTCTTCTTCTCATCCTATCATGGATAGTCTCTGTTTATTGCTGACTGGCTATTTGCCACCGCCTAGACGTGTTGGTTGGTGTACGACGCATGTGGGGTGTGTTGGCATATCGCTCTCTTATATACATGTGCCCATATGGTGTCGAGTATCGTTTCTCCATATTTGATATTAGAGGTACTTATTGGTACACATTTGCGTCCTACGAATATTTCCGTTGATATCAACGAGGGGCCTGGCGGCTCTTTGGGCAATTTTTAATTCTCTTATTTTATTTTCTATTTTTCTGGAGCAAGCCCCAAATACCTTTACCTGCTCTGCCAGCCTGAGATACGGGATATATCCGCGCACCATGTGCTCTGGTTATAACATGCAGGGCTGTTTTAATGTTCGGGATGTATCTCTCTGTTAAGATTATATTCCCCCTTACACTGCCACGGAGATATGGATCACTGCTGAGGCGTTTAAAGCAATGCACCAAATATCATCCTTTCTTCAACTAGATATCTCTCAAGATACCTCAGGACGGCGTTCTCTGCTTAGAGAATATAACATCGTTGCAGGTGTTCCGAGTGTCTGTCTATTTGTCTTTCGGGAATCAACGATCCATTTGATCTAATGATCATGGAAAGTTTATATCCTGGTTAAAACTCAGATACTGAAAATGGATTGACGTAGCATCAAACCTAAGAATGATTTCGTCTTTCTTCCCTTTCGTTTCCCCCTTTCCTTTCGTTCCTAAATTCTATGTCTCAGGGCTGGAAAGTCCCGGATAGAAAATAAGCATACACATACATCAAAGAAGACTTTATTTGAAACAAGAAAAGCGCCATTCAACAGCCTCAGAGTGAATGTCTTTCAGCTACATTTTTAGATATTTTTGCCATATATTTATTTCATGGCACCTGTCATTGTAGATGGCTTTATGTTGATATTGACGTTGCTATGTGTTTCTCATATCGTCTTGTTTTTTCTATGTTCAACATAAATTGTTGCTTAGCTACTTGTAGCTCACTAATTCCCTTTTGACCAACGTCCTCTCATCCTCTTCATCCCCCTTTATCATTTTAACCCTCTTTTGGGATCAACCTTCATCAGCATTCCTTTTGCCGATCCCAGCTTGCTGGAGCCCTGGGATATTTCACTCTCTCATTCATCACTCTCCTTCCACTAAAACACTGAAATTTGCCGGGAGTGCCTGTTCCGATCACGGACTTCCTCCCTTTCTTTAACATCTCTAGTTTCCCATACATCTAGCTCACCTGTATGTTATCCATCTAAATTCATCAAAATCTATCAAACTATGGCCCGAGCTATCTTCACTGGGCCTGCCCAGAAGACCACTGGCACCGAAATGGCATCTGGGGTCCCTGGCATGACTACATCTGTCGTGCAAATCCCTGGCCAGAATGAAAAGCAGCAACAAGCTCAAGAAATGCGACAAGATCAAAGCCTGGCTCTTGTTCAGATTATGCTCCATGCCTCAGTTAGTTTACACCTGGACAAATGACAAATAGAGGGAGTTTATTAAACTGACATTTTTCCTTCTCCTTTTCTCTACCCCTTTACCTCTAGTTGGGCACTCTGTTTTATCTTAGGTAGGAGTCACGAAACTCACCCGACGCGTTTCGCACGTTTGTCTGTAGAATATTCGCTACTAACCACTCAGTGATATCATCAGGGACTTTTTACCGATAAGTTGTTTCGAGGAACGCGATCTCCTGAAGCTATCTAAACCGGATTCACAGCTGTCGTATGCCGACTTCATTGCAGGGAAGCTGGGGCCTGGTGAATCGATTTTCAACAGAATGACCCAGGATAGGCGTGCCCAGCCTTTAAAGATAGTCGTGCGCGGGAAAAGTCCCAAGGCGGACAGGTTGCTTGATTTTCTCGTATGTTAAGATTTTCCAATTATTTTCCCTTTCAATTTGCAGCGTTTATCCGTTATTCACTAACTCTTGTAAGGAACGTGGGATTTTCGAAGCCCTTGAGAAAAACTACCTCGAGGCGGTGCAGATGACCGTTTTCGTGGACAAGACCAAATCATCGAACGTTCTTGAGAGCTACACGTTCACTTTCAAGTACGCAGACGGATGCAAGGATGTTGGCAAGCGGCTTGCAAGCATCTCTCTCGACTCAACTGGCTGTACAGCGGACATGGAAACTACCAAGACGGCAAAACATGGTCTGGAGATGATCGTTCGCCGTTTGATTACGTTGAGCTCGTTTTTGCCAATTCTTCCCAGTATGGAAACTATGTGGATTCATATCATAATCAGGCGTTATGCAAAAAATACTGATACCCCTTTCCAGGTCAGCGCTATATGGAGATACATCTCTTCTACAATGAAGGCTCTCCAGCAGGATACAATCCTCCTGGATTCAAGTCGGCTGAACATAACGATTTATTCTTCGCGCAGAATGAGTTGTGGTCTAGGGAAACTCAGTCTTGTGGTGCTATGGAGACCGGAATTCACAGGTATATATATAGTTTGATCGGATTTCATTAAATAAATGGCAGCTAATTTTGATTAAATAGCGTTGGGTTGAAGGTCACCTCTCTGAAATGGTCTGGAACGAACGGGCCGAGTTCGTATTATATTCCGGAAATCCCGACAGATATCGAGTATGGGGACAGATTTCGTCGTGCGGATGATGTCGGCATTAGCGACGTATCGGAGTCCATCAAGAATCTTGGACGATCGATTCAAGGTTCGTTGGTGTACTATGCCCATGTGACTATTTTTCATTGCATACTTAAGTTAATTGTCGACTGTATACAGGAAGCAGCCAGCTCTCTACTCAGGCTCTTCATGATGTTGCTGTCAAGAAGGGTTTGCAAAAGATGATTCCAGTATGGAAAGCTAGATATATCGAGGTTTATGTATAGCTTGGTGCGAATTTAACTAACTTCAATCGCGTCTAGCCGGCTACGTCGACCCCTGACGGCGATCTCGTTCCGACGCAGAGGAACCCCGACTCCCTCAAAGCTTCAAAAGCGCAGCTTTCTCAAGTAAAGCTCGCGCAGCTACGAGCTCGGAACCAGACAGATTCGATTGTAGCTGGAAACCATTACGCGCTGGACAAGGAACCTGCTCTTCCCAACAAACCTGGCGCCGTCTGTTGCGAATGTGGATCAAGCGCAGCCTCCCACAAGATGGTATGTTAATATTTAAAGTGGCAGAAGTTGTTTATCACGAAACTAACTACTTTATCAGCTGGAATGCGCGTTCTGTGAGAGTCGACAGCATTTCGTCTGCTACGGATTTATGCACGGGCAAGATCCAGCCATCCCGGAAACCCATGCGTGCTACACCTGCCTCCTGGAACCGCAGGAAAAAGCTCTCGAACAAGAGATGCGGACACTGGTCTTGCTCCGTCGCGCTCTGAGTGTCATCATTGAGAAGGGCTATCCGAATAGAGTGAGAGATTTCGCTCAGATGCTAAGTATGTATTTTATATATATCCTTTTCCTATACATGGAAGGTCAATTCTAAGGATGTCATTTTTTAGACTGCAATGGCCAGACAATCATCCAGACAACGGATTTGTTAAGGAAGCAGGGTTTCCTGCTGGCGACACCTGGCTCCAAATCGAGGGGGTTCCTGGAGAAAGGGCTCCCGAAATTCACGATTTCTAAGGCGCCGGACATAAAGGAGAGACTTCGCACGGAAATTTTTAACCCTCTTGCGAAAATTTCTCACTATGTGTGTTTTCTTTCTGTTTGTTGGGAAGAGAAAGGAAGCTGGCAATGGCTAATATTCTACTTTGTTTTTATAGTACACCTTTCCACCTAATAAGTGGGATCCTGTAAATAAACCTGGTGGGTGCTCATCGGATATTTCGAGCGACGAGATTTCAATCGAGGAGATGCCAATTCAAAGGTAAAATGCAACAGCACATTCCTAGCTGCAAAGAGGGCTTCTTATCACGGTATGACGGACAGAGCACAACTAACCGTGAATGCAGTCCGGGCTATGAAGAACGCATCTACGGGAGCAAGATTCGTAGATACAAAACCCTGGCTAGAACCACACCGCCAGCCCCAGAAGTTCTCGAGATTCGAAATGCGTTTAATGCACTTCACGCGAACTTGCACTCGATGAGGGAGGAATTTGACCCTTTGCGCAGTCTTCGGACTCAGGCTCAGACGGAAACCTCACCGCAGAACCGCAATCGGAGGAGGGGTCTTCTGGACTCCAGTGGGATGGTTACTCCTGACGCTCGTCCCGCCTCTAGCTTTGGCTCTGGCACCCGTAGGAAGAAGTTGGTGGGCAGTGATGGGGACGATGATTATGTCAACGGGAATAGCATGCCTGATTCGGAGAAAGGGAGCCGTCGGAAGAGGATGAAGTTGAGTAAGATTGAGAGTCCGATTAGTATATTTGAGCCTACCAGTGAGATTTGGAATGAGGAGGAGAGTGAGGGCGAGGATGGGAGTGGGAGTGAGAGTGTTTGAAAGAAAAAAGATTAGTTTTGACTGAGGATTCATATGCTGTGTTTCTGCAAGGTATTTCGGGGGGATGTTGCTTTGCTAATGACAGGTAAGTTGTGGTGGATAGTTGATCTTGATGATAACTGAAATTTCCCCCTTTTTTCTCCCCCTCTTTTTCTACTGTATTAAATATTTGTTCCCGTCCATGTTCCACGTACGGTTTATGTTCTTGTGCCTTACCCATATCAACTCCCCAGGTTCACAAAACCCTCATCTTGCTCTCGCGACTGATCGAGCGATCTCAAACTTATGTCCTCTTGCCTTGATGTGGTTTGTTTTCTCCGTTTCTGATTTGTCATTTCTTGCCATATCGCCTCGGCTTTTAATGTTTGTTTTCTTCATCTGTGAAATACATATGTGCAATGTTTACATTCATAAACGAAGGCGCCTGACTTCTCTGGTGGCGTTATGGATGTGATTTAACCTAGGTAGTGGGTGAGAGGTGTGAGCCTATGAGTAATGCAATGCAATACAATGGCAATGAAGAAATGATATTGTTATTATTGATAACATTCCAGGGCTATGTTTACATGTGACACTGTTTGATGTTCATTCTCGCCTTCACGTTCATTCTTTAGTTAACTACGTGATACCCAACAACAGCTGTGGAGGGTTATCTAGCAAAGTTCAAATCTATTGAAACAGGTTCACGGCATTGCATGCCCTGGATAAGAACTTTTGGTAACCTTGGAAGGCCCCGATACACCCTGCAACCACGCAACCAACTATATATATCCATAAGCAGCAACTCGCAGTCAAAAGGCGTGTCATCCACTGGGATTTGTAGCTCTCATGCAGTTGTCAGACAGGAATGCGAGTACTATAGTTCCTCATCTTATGGGACAGGAACTGGGCAGTGAAGCGGGGTGAGCTCGCAGGGAAGTGGGCCAGAGGTACGTACTCCGCAAATTAATCCAATCAACTCCGTTCTCTCGCGCCATGGAAGTGGGATTTTGAAACTATTCGCCCTCAAGCCATTTCGCAACTACGAACCTTTAACTTAAAGCTGGCCACAGGCAATCGATTATGCGATTCCAGATTGAACAAACCTGCGACGACCACGCACGGACACACGCCCTCTGAATTCATGTATATTGGCGGAGAGGTCCATCTCAAAAGCTGGACCCTGAAACTTTTGAGTGGATGAATGACCTCCTTAGCTTCAAAACGGTCAAGCACAGAGCAGGTATGATAAGATGAATTGCATGGGGAACCCCGGATGGTCAAGAAGACCAACTGGGGATGGTTTGCTCACTTGTAGCTTGGCTAAGCACCACTGTCTGGGAATCTGGAAGGGAGTGGCGAGGAGAGGAGGTCAAGAACTTCATAATTTTTCCTGTGCTGAGCCTGTGCGGAGCCTGTGCGTAAGAAGGACTTGACTCCCTGTGTCCTAACCTGAGTAACCATGTTGGTGGACCAGTGGATGGACGGGAAGAGCGGAGTTTTGAAATTCTATTGAATTGTTGCAGATAGAGAAGGGTGGGTCGCAGGCCTACTGCTTAGTTTTGCTCTGTTTTGCTTTTTCTCACTCTCTTGCGAGTGAGGTAGCAAGGATCCATGGATAGTCTGAAGCGGGTTTAATATAATACTGTGACTAGTTAGCAGCGTTCTGCAGCGATGGTGGGTAATGGGAATACGTTATTGCGGGTAACTCGCAAGAAAAGATAGTTATGGCCATATCGAAAGATAGATTTCGCGGAATAACTATTGGAAGAAGCGGAAAATCAACGGTGAAAGGAGTGGGAGGCAAATCTGGATAGTTTATCAACTTCCCAGCCAAATAACTCTCTCTACCAATGAACTGAAGATGACCGGCATCCAAGTCTTTCAAGGAATAAATATTCTTTATCGAACGGCTTTGGCAGTCTTCATAGGATGGACGCACAGCATCGTTTTTCTTTCTCAATATGCTCAAATTCTTTCACTATCTACTTGTTCAAATATCGAATGAGGCTTTAATTAAGCTTGCAATTGCGACACATGATTTGTGGCCTCCAGGTTTCCACTGTTCCAGAAAGGATCTCAGAGAAGAGTTGTTTTGAAGGGGGATATTATTTTCCCACGGAGATTTCATACAGGAAATCGTTGAGCCATGCAGCCTGGAGGAGCATCAGTTTAGTTGACGGTTTTGTTTCCCCTGCCCTGTAAGCCATCCATGGCATAACTAGTTCCATCGGAACTAGTTAACGTTAGCAAGGAATAACTAAGTTAATATAGGATGGATTATTACGATGCGATGTCTTGCGCTTGAGGAGCAGCAACTTCTGCTCAAAGGAGCCAGCCACTAATTAGCACAGGCTCTTAGCCGTGATTATCTCCCCCAATTACTCGGTTCTGCGGAAAAGTTCTTCCATTGTTACTTGTTTCTTGTTGCTTGCTCTTTACCGATTCTTGGGGATTCTACAACTCCTCAGATCCACGCTGGTTCAGCCAGCGTCAAGTCGATCAGTAAGCTTGTCTGACAGCATCTCATCACCGCCAGAGGCGTAGACGCGCCGAGTGCTAATAAAGGTACAGATTCAGCCTTTTTTTGCCCCTTTTGAAACACTGTAGTTATGGAGTAGCCCCGGTTATATTCCAGTAATTGCGGGCGTTTTTCTATCCGCTACTAGTGGGCATTTTTAGTCGACCTTGACCCTGCCTTGTGTCTTCAGAAGTCATGCAACTCTTCTCTTTCTCACACCCTTTGTCTTTGTCTGCATGCTTTCCGATTGTCCCAACCCTCTCTCGACGGAGTGTGTCTCGCTGCTCTCGCTGCTTTCTGCTAACTGGGGCATCCAGGATCACTCGCGGTCTGCTGGCACCTGTTTCCACGTTTTCTGCGATCCGTGTATCCTCCTGACTGCATTCATTTTGTACCCCCCCAAGTTATTGACCCTGGTTTGTCGGATCGGCACTCGTGGACACCAGTTCCTGGAGATTGCTCCCGAAGCAGGGAGCACAAAATCCAATTAAAATAATAATAACGCATTCCCGGGGGGATTCAATTCTTTCTACTCCATTTATTTCTACGACAGCTACGTGCGTTATCTTTGTTTAACGTTTTGTTTTGATTTTGTTTTTTAATCCATACCGCCCTGTCAGTTCATTGAACCGCCTCAGATATGATGATTTCATCAAAAATAACAATCAAATAGCGGTCAAAATCGGCGAAGAAGGCGGAGAAGAAAAGAAAAGGGAAAGGAAAAAGAAACAAAGGACACTCGAGTGGATTCAGTCGACTACTGGACTCTTGGGATCATCACACGTTGCCATCTAGTTTTTTATTTTTATTTTTGCTTTTTTCCCTATTCGTCTACCAACGAAAGCAAACGGGATAGTCTCGGCTACTATTCGCTTAACGTTAGTTACTAGCTGGAAAAAGCAAAGAAAGGAATCAAGACGAGGGTGATATGTCCCAACACCAATCGCGTGGACTGCCAGTGCCTCAACGGTTATCTAGTCTGTCCTCGTCAAACGAATCGATTACCCGCAAATCCCACAGATCCCCTCTCTATGGCCTCAATAGTATCCTCGCAGAGCATTCCCAGGGTGCCCCGAGGTATACGACGAACAACAATATCATTGTCGATAACGTCTTTCAGCGAAAATTCGGAAAGACTGTCCGGACAGCAAGGCAGTTTGAATTGCGTTTATCGTCCGCCAACAGAGAAGGAGGAATTGAAGGAAGAGTAGAAGGAGGAGGTGGTGGAGAAGGAAGAGGAAGCGGAGCACTGAGCGGAAACTTGAGCCCTCGAGCTACAGAGCGAGTTACTATCAATTCCCAAAAGCAATTGCGCCAAAGGGCGTCTTCGCCGCTTTTGGGTGACCGATATCAAAACAAGTATCACGAGTCACTTCTGTCCTTTCATGCAGAGGTAAACCCCGCCCTGCGTGTGCCCGACTCACCGTCGGCCCTATGCTCATCTCACGATCCTTTGACCTTTCCATCAACCGTTTCACAGCTGGCGCACGCAGAGGCACATGCGCAATCCCAATCTCAGACACAGACGCACAACCAGTTGCAGAATCAGATACCGGCATCGTACTCCTCCAGGGATCTCACATTTAGAAACAATAGCTATCTAGCCAACTGGCTGGCCGATTCCAATTTGCCGACAGACCTTGAGCCTTCTGAACCATACTCACAAGCCCAAAAGACAGCGTCAAAAGTCAAGCATCGCCCACCCATGATCGATCTATCACACCTTTTCCCCAAACCCAGCGATCCAGCTGCTATTTCGAGCATGCCGTTATTGTCTCCACATCGTTTAACAATGTCTCCTTCACCTATTTCTTTGCTGTCAGACACCTCGTTTGGTGGGCAACAGTGGAAACTTGGCAGTTTACACAATACTGGGAATAAATTGACCAAGACGCCAAGTATCAAGGAGCTGGCCGCCCTTCACAAACTATTTGAACAGAAACAGCAGCAGGAGGAACTTCAACATCGTTCTCCAATATCACCTCAATCCCCATCGCAACAGTACGATCAGAGCCTTTACGGGAAGCAGCATTTGAAACCGCGGCAGAAGCAACAACAGATACCACAGGAGAAAGAGTCGTTTTTCCAACGCCAAAAACGGGACAAGAAAAGGCTGGAAGAAGAACAGCCTCAACGGCGGGTTCAGCAGGAAAAAGAACACTATTTCCAACGCCAGAAGCGTGAGAAACAACGGCGGAAGGAAGAGGAACAGTCTTACCAATGCCAGAAAGAAGAGCAGAGACAGCAGGAACAACGCGATCAGCTGCAACTGCAACAACTTCAGAAACAACGACAAAGAGAATTGCAATCGCAGTCTTACGAATTCCCATTCCAGAGGAAGCGCCCCGGGCCACGAAAGAAAGCTGTTGAGTGGTTCGATGGGCCAGAGGGACAAGTTAGTAGTGGTGACGACGATGAAAACGATGGAGAACCCGATAACGGGGGCGGGGGGAAGTCCATCCAATACGCCACCCAAACCCTACCTGCGACAAGGCAGCCTGCCCCTCGGGAGTCTATCTATTCCCGCGGGAGCAGTAATCGGGCTAGCGTGAATTCAAATGCGCTGAGCGGAGTTTCAAGAGCCTCAAGCCGAACACTAATACTCTCTTCCACCCCTAACCCAGTAAAGAAATATACACCTGAATCCCACAGTAACCTCAGCCCTTTCTTCAGTTTCGAAACCAGCAACTTCTACTCCTCTCCCCATGACTGGGAGTTTGGAAGTAGGGCCAGCCCGGCTGTCATAAAAGAATCGGCTTCGGCCTCTGAAGGGCTGTCCAGGAAGAGCAGTAAGGCTGCTCTAAATAGATCAGACCTCAACGAGGCTAGCGTTCTCTGTCTCTCTTCCTCAGAGGATGAAACCGAAGAGGAGGAATTGGGGGGGAACACGCCCGCCCGGCGAGGATTTATAATACGTGATAGCATTGCCACATTTGACGATGAGGGTTCAGAGATCTGCACCGCGACAGCGAAAGCTGTTGCTGCGGCTAAAGGTGGCCCAGTCGTGTCTAGAATCCGAAGCGCTAACTTTCGATCTCCCCGAGCCTCAGAGGCGACGGAGCCATACCCACAATCACTTTCCCGGAATCGCTCAAACTCGTCTATACTGAGATCCCAAAACTATCGTCCATCGAATGGGATACCCACAATATCTGAACCAGAAGAACCAACTGCACCTCCTTCATCTGCACCAGCCACTACAACCACAAACACCTCAACTTTCGATTTCCAACTCCCCCATCCACAACCCCGCCCCCGGACTCGGGAGAGTAGCACCCACCAATCCCCCCCGCCCACAAACCGTCGTAGTCGCTTCATAGCGGTAACCAGACAAGAAGAGCAGTTCCTCGAAGCTATCAGACGTCAGCACGGGAATATCCCACCCAGCTTCTCTATCACAGATACATCCACCCCCAGAACCTCAAACACCATTTCTAACCCACCCCGAAAATCCCCCTCTTCCTCAAGAGACCACTCACCCTCCACCAACCAATCCAAAGCCGCCGCCGCCAACACATCATTCCTCGCGTTGAGTCCTGAACTCCCCCGAGCCCGGAGTAACAGGGATAGCCTTCACATATACCCAATAACAACGGCAAGTGCCAGCGCTTCCGCCACCACTGAAAGCGGCGAAAGGTCCCTCTCGCATCACCACACTCTATCCGTATCCGATGGCGAGCGACACTCCAACCCCTCACCGCGTATTAGCCTCGTGCAGTCTGACACACTCCCATCCTCCTCGAAGAGCTGGGCATCACCGCCCTCTCCAACGGTAGAACAGTATACTCCCCCGAGACAACAACAGCACCAGCAGCATCAGAAACAGCACAATCCTACCCCACGCACGCTGATGCACGCACAGCCACTATCGTCCTACCCACTCTCCTCGTCACTGCTGCTGTCAACCCTGTCAGCACACTCACACTCACATTCACGCTCGCCATCAACCCCGCCATTATCGGTCTCTGCCGCCGCTGCTGGCAGCAGCAGCGGTAGCGCTCCGGCACCGGTGACGCCCGAGGAAACGAAGCGTCATTCCCGATCAAGGACGGATAGCAGTGATGCGATGGCGTTTGGAGACGGGGATGTGGATTACAAAAGGGATAGTTCAGGGTTGGACATGGATGCTGCGGATTTGCCGATTTGGGCGTTGGGATGGGGGAATGAGACGCCCGGGTTGGCGGTTGTGCATTGATCTCGATATTATAATCCACCTGGGGACACGCTATATATATTTACATGCCAGTGTTGCACAGAAGTGGAAGGCTTTTAAATGGGTTTTACGGAGTGTTGGTTTTCGGTCGACATGTCCCAGGAATTCTATTCGTCGATTCGGAAACGGGACGGAACGGGGGGCTGGATCCGCGGCCGAAGCTATCGATATTATTATTATCCATGATAAGATACTCCGGACATCATATATTGATTTTCAGATCCCTTTTATTTATCTATTTACTTATTTATTTTTGTTTCACTTTTCCCACCCATTAGCTTTTCAGCTATTGTCCCTATTTTCATGATGAAGGTTCGGATCAAAATTGCGCGATATACGGAGTACGACCAGACTATATCTCAACCGCCTATCTATCAGCCATATCCATCTCTCCTATTTTCCTACAGCCTCCCCCTGTTTTATACCGCGCAACACGCATCTACGTCCGCATTATCTGCGTCATTATTTCATATTTTCCGTTTTGTTGTAACACACATTTACACCAACCTCTGCATCATGCTATTATCATATACGACGACATCACGCTTTCCTTTGCACCCTACCTGCTACTGTCTACCCACAGCGTCGCCTGTTTTAATATGTAATATTGAGGGAGTCAGGCTTCCACTCCTTCGTTTTCATTTCCCTCTGTTTTACGTCTCTCTATCTCTCAGTCTGTCTGTCTGCAGGATCAGAGTGTCAGTGAGAGACATCTGAGCTATGTAAAATAGCATCATTTTTTAACTTCCCTGTCGTTTCGTACTTCCCTGTTTCCCCGCTTATTTATTCCCCTCGTCTTATTAACTTGCTCAACTTGGATTCGACAGTAAAAACCCTCATACACAGTAACTCCTTTACCTATTCCTCATCGAGTCACAATGTTCTCTGTCTCCCTCGTCTAACATCTATATATCAACCCGATTTTCGTATGTCGAGATGCCATACTAGCTTCATCGCGTTAATGCAGAGAAACTCTAAAATCTGTTCTTTACGACGAATGAAATAATCCATTGGATTCGTCCCATTTTAGTATTAACACGTCACCGATGATCATTATTATTAATTACTTTTCATAGCCGGGGATTTACGAATTACCATTGGCTGGAGTGATTACTTACACCCCGAAGTGGGGAGTTTCACCAGTCGCCCAGGGCTAGAAACGAGTTAGGTTGATGGAACCGTTCGTAGAAGGGTTGACATTTTATATATGGAAAATCCACCCGAGTCTGCTGTTTGTGCTTTAGGAGCGGGGGTAAAGCAAATACATACATATGTGGAAGCATCATATGATATAGCATGATCAAGCAGCAAACCAAGCTTTGGGCGTCGACGGAATGGTTACAGGGATGTCGTTGCGGGGATCCAGCACTTTCTCAAGGGGAGATTTTGATTGGTAACCTGTCTATCTCATAAGCTCGCGGTTGGGAAGGATACGTGCCCAGATGTGTATATTTTGGTCATATATTTGTTCATCATGATCATGATCATGATCATCATCATCACCCAGAACCATTCTGGAGTTTAAGAGTGGGTTATATAACTCAACTAGTTACAGGACAGAGAGGCTTTTGACTCGTCTCTTGTCTTTTTCCTAAGACACAAGCATTTTGTTGCAGAAAGCGGTCAGGAGGGGAATAACTACTTAAACTTAACTGTTTGACTCGAGATGACTTTGATTGGTGTTGAGTCTTTTGATTGCTAGTCGTTAGCGCTTGCAGACCCCTCCAGCTGCGATCGTTTTGCTGGGTTGTTTTCTTGTATCTGATTAGCGGGCTCCATGAAACTAAGGGATGGTAAGGATAGGGCTTGAGCTTGTGGCGGCAGTTGTGTCTGGATTTTGGATGCCAGCTGACGGCGAATTGCCAATTGCGATGTGAATTGGGCAGGTTGGGTTAGCAGTGTACGTTCCTGCGGAGCACCGAGTGATGGATTTTGTGGGATTCCATGGGTTGTTGTTATTTAATTGTAGACTTGTAGTTGGCATTTCCAGTGGAGATATAGCTGTTGGAGTCTTACTCCGATATTCTCTCTTCCAATACACCGGGACTCGTGCTCCTTTCTCCGAATAAAGGACTTGATCCTCGCGTGGTGTGACGCGCTCACCTCCGGATCCTGAAATTTATGTATGCACGGGTCCCTCCCTGTCACTGTCCAGTGGATAATCAATATCTACATCTCATATTCCTATTTACCTAGGTACACTGTTGTTGTCCATCATTCCTGACAGAGAAAACATGCCCATATTCGCTCTGTCGCCCTCTCATCAAGACCCATAGCATTATATACGCCATATTAGACCATCCATCACATTACCCTCCAGCGTCTCCACTCTCCACTCTCCAGCCTCCCCCTGTGTCCCCCCCCGTGTCTGTGCCTGTGCCTGACCAGCCCCAGCACCTGCAGATCGGACTGAAATCGAGTTTTGTCATTTGCTTTTTCCTTGGGAGAGCTCAATTCTTGCCCTCTTCTTTTCTTTCTTTTTCTATCTTTGTTTTCTCAACTCCTTCTGGAGTATTTACTTTGGGCGATCTCCGGCAAACCTCCAACCTCCAACTTCTGGCCTTCACCTCTCTTTTACTCCCCCGAAATTATCCAACCACACCCACTGCTTGGGGCATCTAAACAAACATCGTGATCCCCAGCGGAAGGCTTACGCACGAGAAATACGCCTCTTTTTACAACACCCACACGTCGCAATGGGGAGGGATTCAAGGGTGGCCGCTGTCTGGATGGGCGTTCCAGTCAGATACATTTCCTTGGCCGTGGTATGTATTGCGCTCGCTGCACATGTGATTGAGCTCCTTCGATATTAAATTATTCTGTGCATTGCTAACTGAAACTTCTCTCTTCTCAATATATATAGTTAGCAGTTCAATATACATCTTTTATATTAGTACGAAAGCTTTCTGAGATTTCCCTTTCCCATTTCACCCTAAAGTCCTAGCGTCGCTACAAAGCAAATATCGAGTCAAAGATAACATAATGAAAAAAACGAAACCATATAACAAACAGTCCCTGTATATTTGAATATCTGTCTGATAGGATTGGCTAACCAAATGACATTTTCCGCACTTCCGCGGAACTCTGCTTTAATCTAAATAGCTCCTCCATTACTCCAGAGTAATGCCCGTTGTTGGCGGCCGGCGCTACATAACTTCCACCGCAGTCTTCCTCAACGAGGTTATAAAGCTTGCCATTTGCCTCACCGTCGCCCTCTACGAAGTCTCGAAGACTATCCCCCCCTCCATGCCCGCAACCACCCTCTTCACAAATCTTTCCTCCGTCGTATTTACCGGCGACAGCTGGAAACTTGCTGTCCCAGCAGCGCTTTACACCCTCTCAAACTCCCTCACCTATGTCGGCCTCTCGAACCTCGAAGCTGCCACGTTCCAAGTCACATACCAGCTAAAGCTAGCCATAACTGCGGTCTTTGGTGCAATGCTGCTAAGAAGGAGTTTATCCCTAGGCAAATGGTTGGCCCTGCTTCTCCTGCTTGCGGGGGTGTTTATCGTACATATACCCCATACGGATCCGAATGATCTTGACCCTAACCACGCCCACTTACATTTCCCTCGCTCGTTGGACGAATGGCGGAACCTGCGCTCAGTGAACCGTAACATGAACCGCAACATGCTGCGCAAGCGCTCCGCGACCTATGAAGGCATCGAGGAGGATCTAATGCTAGGCCACCCGCACATGAACAGTAACATTGGCCTGCTGGCTACCATTGGCTCCTGCATCGCATCGGGTCTGGCAGGCGTATCTTTCGAAAAGGTGCTAAAGGACAGTGCCAGTTCGACAACATCTGTATGGATACGCAACGTCCAGCTGGCTGTATATTCGATTTTCCCTTCATTGTTTATTGGGGTCGTATTCCTGGATGGCGAGAAGGTGGCGCGCGGTGGGTTCTTTGAGGGGTACAATTGGGTCGTGTGGGCTGTTATTGGTGTACAGGCTGTCGGGGGGATTGCGACGTCATTTGCGATATCGCACGGGGAACATGGGTTGAGGAATTCGGCAGCAGGGATTAGTATTTTGCTTAGTGTTTTAGGAGCGATGTGGGGGTTTGAGTTTAGGGTTGGTGGGAATGTGAGTTCCTCCTTTATGTTATGTGGAAATCCCTCTCTCGAAATACTAATGAAATGCTCAGTTCCTCCTCGGCACCACCCTCGTCCTCGCCGTATTATACATCTACAGTCAACTCCCCCACCCAACCAACACATACCCCCATTCCCCCTCCCCCTCCCCCTCCCCTTCCCCCTCCCACTCCCATTCGCACTCGCACTCGCACTCCCACCCCTACACTAAACATCTCCACACCGGTCCCTCACCAATCCGCATCAACAGCTTAGGAAAACTCAGCGGTTTCTCCAACTTCAGTAACAGCAACATCAGCCCCTCGAACCCATCCACAGACGCAGCGAAGGACGGGAATAATAATAATAACAATGATAATAATAACCATGGCCTCACTGTAGATGGCACCCTCCTCTCCCCACCCAATGACTTATCTATAAAACTCCCCACGACGCGTGGGTTATCGGAGTCCGCGGCGCTGGCGACTTCTAGGCCTGGTTCTCCGAATCCGGCGGGTCATGCGGCGAGGCTCAAGGGGTCGTATTTTGCGCAGAGAGGGGGTGGGTGAGCGTTAAATGTCTGGGTGGGTTGATGGAGATGGTTTGGGGTTGAGAGGTTGGGGGATTAAGGGGTGAAGGGGGTTTGAAGGCAGGCTTTGGTGGTTAGTGAAAGAGGTTGTGGGGAGGGGAAGTTTATGAATGGATATTCTTTTTCTTCTGAAATTTTTTACATTTTTACACAAGAGTGATTTGTATTTGTGGGTTTATTTTGACTTCCTCTTTTCTTCTTCTTCTTCTCCTGTTTGCTTCTTTGAACTAAAGGATAGGGGCGTTTATACCATACTCAACCTCTTTAATTCCTTTTAAACCTTCAAGTCTTCTATGATACAAGGAAAACAATTTCCCATGACTTTTATCTTTCTTCACCTGGTTCTGGTGTGGCCTTTTGTTTACTGATATATATCCCCTACATCGGATTTCGAACTGCTTCTTCTTTTCTATCTTTTTATAACAGAAGCAGGATATTTTTCCTGGGGATTGTTTATAGCCCGCCTGAGGGAACATTTTCTTATTTCATCTCTCTTTTCTGTTGTTCTGTTAATATCCAACTGTGGTCATTAATTCAGTGATCCCCATTGAGTTTGGGAGATTCATATAACCCAGTGGGTTATGCCGGGCATGATGACACGGGAAAATGCAGCGGATGGATGGTCATGCATTGGGCTATAATACAATATAATGTGAAAAATGGGTACAAAAGATTATACCTCCTTGTGTCTGGATTCAGCTGTGGGTTTCTGCGCTCTTTTTTACCCCTTGACTCAACTTCTAATCTTTTTCTTTCCAGATTCCAACCCGCAAGGGAAATTTAGGGTCAGGTCATGTGATTTTGAGCCCCTTTTACCTGTCCCTACTTTATTCCAACCTCCAGCTCCAGCTCATATTCTTATTTCAACAACATACCATTGTGGAATTCCCATTCATGGCCTCTCTTCCAGTTTTGCCATAGCATGATTGGAAGAATTACCCAGTTGAATGGCTTACATCTGTTTCCCCCGTATATCGTGTCGGCACGGAGTTCTGCTCCCCTTCGTTTGACTATCTAGATAGCCCTTCCCTCTTTTCATTCCCTTGCCTTTCTGCGCATTTCTTGACAATTCTATAATACGAACTGGTCTCTTTGATTCTCTATGTCTCTTGTATACTGACCGCCACCGTCTACGTTAGATGAGTTAGCCCAATCTTCGTGCCTCTGTTAGGTAGAATGGTAGTTTGATCAGTTAGATATCGATATGGATCACACAAAGCGGGATACATCCAATTTCCGCCGCCTCATCAGCACCTTCAAAAGTCCTGTTAAATCATCATCTTCTTCCGCCTCTATCTCGTCATCTTCCCCTGCGTCTTTAAACTTTTTCAAGCCGTTCATAGTTCCTATGCCAAATCCGCAATGGAAGAAGCAACCGGTTCAACAAACACCAACTAGCAATAGTAGCGGAGATAATAGTAGCACTGTTGACACTGCAGAAGGTTCTCGTACCTTGATGAGGTGGGGACAGCAGCAATTACATCCTCTGGGTTTGTTAGGCGGGAAGAAGTTGAGTTCTCAGGACCGGGATCTGGATTTGACGTTTGATGCATTTGGTTTGGAATCATATTTTCTCATATTCATTCCCCTTCTTTCAATCTGAACTCTATTATGGCAGCTAACTCCATTTAATTGTTAAAGATCGGGAGCTATTAGCTCAGCTGGAGAGAGGAGAGGAGCAACAACTTGATGTCCCTGATGCTAATGTGCAGGAAGATGAATCGGAGGATCTATACGGTCCTACGCTGGCGCCTATACCGCCAAAGAACTCCAAATTTTTTCAAAGCTGTATTAATCCTTTTCTATTTCTTTGTCGAAGGCATTTCTATGTGGTAATTATATGCATGTACGTGTTCAATACTGACGTTCTAGCTGCGAATGCTACTTCCACTACTATGTCCACCCCTTTTCGAAAACAGGTGTCAAGTTCATCTGAAGTTGGACTGTTTTCCAGCCCATCACTTGCCGTCAAGACCCGAAAGAGACCACCCCTTTTTCCCAAGGATGGTGTGCATGATGATGACCAGGAGCTTGGAAAGTCCTCATTTTCTCCCCAGACCATTTCATCTCCAGAGCAGCAGACCAAGGCTACCCTTTCATTCTCTCCACTTAAATCCCATGAAATTCAATTGGATCATGCACTGCCCATGATACAAGGGATCCGGCTTGTATCTACGCATGAACTCCCGGACCGTTTTCGATCTATTTTCCCCTTCCCTATATTCAATGCTATTCAGTCCAAGAGCTTTCGTTCTATCTACCAAGGAGATGATAACTTTGTCCTCTCAGCTCCCACTGGGAGTGGTAAAACAGTAGTCATGGAGTTGGCTATCTGTCGACTAGTGACAAACTTCAGGAACTGCCGGTTCAAAGTGGTATACCAGGCACCAACCAAGTCTTTGTGCTCGGAACGCTTCCGTGATTGGCAAACCAAGTTCACGTCACTGGACCTCCAATGTGCGGAGCTCACTGGTGACACTGATCACGCGCAGTTACGCAGCGTCCAAAATGCAAATATTATCATTACCACCCCTGAGAAATGGGACAGCATGACTCGGAAATGGAAAGATCATATCAAACTAATGCAGCTGGTTAAATTGTTTCTCATCGATGAGGTACATATTTTGAAAGAGGCCAGAGGGGCCACACTGGAAGCTGTGGTGTCTCGAATGAAATCTCTGGACTCTAATGTTCGATTTGTTGCGCTCAGTGCCACGGTTCCAAACTCCGAGGATATTGCGGCCTGGCTGGGTAAGGATCCTACTAACCAACATCTCCCTGCTCACCGCGAGAGGTTTGGCGAAGAGTTTAGACCAGTTAAATTGCAGAAGTTCGTCTACGGCTATCAAAGCAATGGCAATGACTTTGCGTTTGATAAATCTTGCGAGGCAAGGTAAAGGACATTCTTTCAAACTCTTCTCTATCCCCTGACTGATTGAAATTCTAGACTTCCCGAAGTCATCGAAAAACATTCACAGAAGAAGCCAATTATGATATTCTGTTGTACCCGCAACTCCTCGATTGCAACTTCAAAGTATCTTGCCAAGTTATGGACGTCCACAAATCCCCCCAATCGTCTATGGAGTGGTCCAACCAAGTCTCTTGGTGTTCAAAATCCCGAATTAAGGGGTGCGTACATTTTCACCTTTCACATAAGATGTTTGTTTGGTATTCTAACAAACATAAGCAACCATTTCCTCTGGCGTTGCATTTCACCATGCTGGCGTTGATGCTGGTGACCGCCATGCTGTCGAAAACGGATTCCTCTCCGGCCAAATTAATGTGATTTGTTGTACATCAACATTAGCGGTTGGTGTGAATCTGCCTTGTCATCTAGTGATAATAAAAAACACAGTTTCATGGCAGGAAGCTGGCTGCAAGGAGTATGCGGATCTGGAAATGATGCAGATGCTTGGACGAGCGGGAAGACCTCAGTTCGACGACAGTGCTGTTGCCGTTATACTGACAAGAAAAGAAAGAGTAAACCACTATGAGAAACTTGTTTCCGGAAGGGAACCTCTCGAAAGTTGCCTGCATTTAAATTTGATCGACCATCTGAACGCTGCCATTGGTCTTGGAACCATTAATGATGTCGAATCTGCTACGAGATGGCTTGCAGGAACATTTTTCTTCATTCGTTTGCGACAAAATCCCGGTCATTACAATTTGAAAGAAGGAGCGAACAGGTCAGATGAGGAACAAATACTGAAAGAAATTTGTGAAGAGAATATCAAGCGTCTTCAGGAATGCTCACTTGTAACTGACGAGGAGCCCCTAAAATCGACGGAGTTTGGAGATGCAATGGCTCGGTATTACATCAAGTTCGAAACTATGAAGTTGTGTCTCTCCTTACCCCCTAAGGCTAAAATGTCTGAGATTGTAAGTACCCTTAACATGGACTGGATTACTTGATTTACACAACTTAATGTTAGTGAGAATAGCTTTCAGTTGTTGCGCAGGCCGAAGAATTTCGAGAAATTCGACTAAAGTCTGGTGAGAAATCATTATACAAGGAGTTGAACAAGGGAAACGGCATTAAATTTCCCATAAAAATTGACATCGCCCTTCCAGCTCACAAGATATCCCTCCTTATCCAGTCTGAGCTGGGCTCAGTCGACATCCCAACTGGCGACCAGTACCAAAAACACAAGATGTCATTCCAACAGGATAAAGGATTGGTTTTCTCCCACGCCAATCGTCTGATTCGATGTATAATCGATTGCCAAATATCACTCCATGACTCAGTGGGAACTAGACACGCTCTTGAACTTGCTCGAGGTATTGGTGCCAGGGTGTGGGACAATTCTGCATTGCAGATGAAGCAGATAGACCAGATTGGTGTCGTGGCTGTGAGAAAGCTTGCGAATGCTGGTATTAATACTCTCGAGGCCCTCGAAGCTACAGAGCCGCATAGAATAGAAATGCTGCTAAGCAAAAATCCTCCCTTCGGTTCGAGGATCTTGGGAAAACTGGCAGAGTTTCCAAAACCTAGGGTTTCTCTTAAGTTAGTGAGGAAGGTATAGTCGCTGCTTTTGGGAAATGGATAAATCGTTAATTCATATACTAATGTCTGTGGCTCAAAGGATATTAAACACGGGAAAACCGTTAGGATTGGCTTCAAAGCGGAGATAGGGTTTATCAACGAAAAGCTCCCAATTTTCTTTCGTCGAAAGCCCGTATATGTCTGTTTTCTCGCAGAGACGTCGGATGGGCGAATGATTGATTTTAGACGTATTAGGTATGATTGATCGAAATTATGGTGTAAAGAGAGTTTCACTCCTGATATCTGACTGACACTGTGCAGTGCAATCAAACTACAAAATGGCCATGATATCTTGCTCAGTGCAGAATTAACTGACATCTTTCAATATATTTCATGTTATGTCATGTGTGATGACATTGGTATGTCACCATGGATTCCCAATTTATTCCCCCTTTTACCGCGCTTGCTTATAATTTTCAGCTGGGACCATGCGTCAGGCGGAACTCCGACATGATATCCCAGCTTCATATTTTCCAACGAAGAGATCAGAAACCCCTGGTGATGGTGCCGCGGCGAAACAAACTATGAACACGTCCAGGAGACGTAAGAGCGAAAATTTTAGAAACAGGGTCGAGACACGGAAAGATGTTGATGAGTTTGAAGATGATAGTCTCGATGATATAGATCTCATTGCGGCAGGTGCGTTTTGATATATCAGCTTATTTCGAAATTTTGAGTCTAATCGCGCCGTATGTAGCTAAAGATATGGATTATAATTCCCTTGACGAATTCAATGGAAACTATGAACTGCCCAAGGCAACATCGTTGCCGAACGAAAAGGCTGCACCGTGTAGGAATGTCAAAGACTTACACGCAAACGAGCCTAAGGAGCCTGTCCGGTTTGAGAATGGGAATTGGGCTTGCAATCACAGGTGTAAAGATAAAACTAGGTATGTTTCCATTAATACCTGCTATACACATTCATTTTGCTAGAGACATCTCCTGAATTATTCCTAGTTGCAAACACCTGTGTTGTAGGGAGGGTATAGATAGACCACCTAAACCGAACAAGAGACAGGAGCCAGCATCAAACGTTCAACAAGGGAAAACTAATATAACCTCTAAAGAATCTCGAAGCTATTCTGAATGGACCAAGAGCCAGAGCCCTCATCCAGCAAAGGAACAGAATAAAAACAAGAATGTCGAAATTGTTGATCTGTGTGGAGATGACAATAAAAGCTCTAAGCTGGCTGCTACCAGGTCCCATTCCAAAGGGGACAAAAGTTTTCATAAACAAAAGCGTATTGAAGAGTGTAGTGGGAAGACAGGGCCGCGTAAGAAAATTTCAGGTTTCGCATCATATTCACTGTCGAAAGGAAACTCGCTTGACCTATCATTCTTCGACGACGATGGATTCGAAGGTCCAAAAACACCCTTCAGGAAAAAAGAGGCTTCCAGTGATTACGGGAATTCATGGGTTGATGATCTCCCGTCTCCCAATACCTTGCTGCGCACACCCTTGAGGAAAGGGAAAGAGACAAAAAGCAATACAAAATTCAATATCTTCAAAGATGGAGATGAATACATTCCATTTCACACTCTAGAAAATGGTGATGATAAATATATGAAAACGATTTCGCCAATGGTTCTGAATAAAACAGACTCTATGGTATCTTTTCCAGATGATGCCAGCAACAAGCCCACCTCCAGTCCAGAAAAGGGTTCAATGATAAGCAACCCCTTTCTATCCTCATTAGTGGTGAAGCAACCTACCATGGGAACCAACAGCTCCTTTACAGCTCGAACTGTCTCCACCCCTTTATTCCCCTTGCCTGGCCCCAACCCAATCATCATCGGCGACAACAACGACGATAACATTGATTCAGATTTCATCAACGACCAGAATTTCTTCAAGGGGAAAAAGAGGAAAGATGGCTTTAATTGCACATCACGTACAAATCACGCTGACAATAACGGCTCCGACGACAACATAATGATGGTTAATGATTACGGCTACGACGTCATCAATAAAATCCCGCATAAGCGACGCAAGTATAATCCTGCAGAATCTGAACAAGCCATGGATGCCTCATCCTCTATCAACTTCGGTGATCTCCCTACCATGGTTGATGAGCCACCTGCTGCGGGTGATGAGCCAGGGTTCCAGGAGCTGGAAAAGCAGAGAAATCGTCCCGGAAGCTTGGAAGGACTTGATACTTCGCTGTTGGAGGAGTTTAAAGACCTCGTGAACTTTTTTTAAGAACATGTACTGTACCTACATACATGTCATGTGTTCTATAGTTTGGGAAGGAGACGTGAGTTTCGCGCAAATGGTGAGAGGTGATGCTACACTTACTGTTCTAATCGTGGGATAAGTAAAAGCACATTCGTCCTTCGTATATGTCCTTGCTGATTTATGGTATCATATGGTAATTACCTGACGGGAGAGTGTTTTAATGCTTTTCAGGGAATATCTCTTCGCTTTTATTGAGCATTTTTAAAGGTCATACATATATAGTGAGTTACATACCTATCTCGAGAATATTAAATGTCATGCACTATATCGGTCGGCATGAATAACTTCCCACTCCCTCCAACGGCGTCGAATTGTATTTTTAATTAATATTCCCTTCCTTTATGTACGAGTTTTACACTTTGCAAGAGAGAAATATAATGATATGCATCATCCAGTAGAACTGCAAGATCGCATCCCACAGATCTGCAAAATGTGAAAGGGGTTTGAGGCTGTAATACCTATTTGAGATTCTGATAACCCTTACGGCCTCTAGGGAGTACGAGAGATATCAGCAGGAAAAGTAATCTGGTGGAAATGAAGCAGATCAATTATAGAAATTTGTGAGAGGACACTCAGAGATTGTATGTGCTTATGCGGTTGTTACTTACAATAAAGAACCGGTGTTCCTAGTAAGTAGTGTATAAAATAACAAAGCAAAATCAACGCACGTTTTGATAGAACACTCCCGATCAATATCTCATGGGCATAGATGACTGTTCTTCACTTTCTTCTCTGGTATTCTGTGCTGCCCCCCCACCCCCTTTTCTCTTCTCTTTATTCTTCTTTCATCGTCCCTTTCCTTCTCCTGTTTTTGTTCCTTAAAGCTATTTCTTCATCATCTCCTCTGTACCTCCCAAGCTTCCTCGGGATTTAGGATCATCAGGGAGGCGTGTCTCATACTAACCATTTAGCGTCGGAATAAACAGCCCACGAATACTCTCCCACAAGGCAGAGAAAGAGAGATTCTGTTTTCTTGAGAGGTAAAGGTGAAAATTTTTTCCAATCTATTTCCCATTGTGGAGTAGGTGATATTCATGCCGTGGCCACGGGGATCCAAACATGGATGGTGGCCCTGTGAGCGGTTCAAAACGCACAGGCTGCATTCGGGACAGGCAGATATACTGACCGTTGCCGGACCGTGTACAACGGTAGAAGAATCACTGGTGGCTAGCCACTGCGAGCTTCAACGGCGAAACTTAACTATACAGGTGTAAGTAAAGAAGCATCTACTTTATTTCATGTGTTCGAATGACATAAGGATCGGCATTGACAACCGACATACAAATAGCGCAAAGTCCAGGGGATAAAGGCAGGACAGGCGGTCTCGAAGGATCTTGTAAAGCAACACCTCTCTAATAACGTTCATTTAGATATCCCAGATAGAATAGACATGGTGGCTAATACCGTGACTCCAGAAAAGGCGAATTCCATCTGGGATTGGAGCAAAGGCAGCGGCAAGAGATCCTCATGTGGAGATCGATCTGACAGGCAAAGAAGTCACCGACGAGGGATTTGCAGTTTTCGTAGATGATCTTATAAATTGCATTCAGTATCGCGATGCAGAGCATCCTGATGGCATCGTCCACCTAACTGAGATCGCGATAAAGGGCAATGCATTGACGGTCGCATCTATAGAGAAGTTGGGCCGTGTCATCGCGCTCAGCAATGACAGCTTGACACAGGTGGACATCTCAGACAACCAGATTTCTGTTACTTCCAGAAAAGAGAGAGACGTGTGACAGAGATTTCTTGAGTCATTTCAGGGATGCTACCTGCTAAGGAAAGTTGACTTCAGTGGCAATCCTTTTGGGGGGCGGGGGTTTCGACGTGTTTGCCAGGGTCTACACGCAAAGCGATCTGGATTTTGTCGTCGAACCTCTCAGCAACGATCGAGTAAATATGTCTGTCGATACTGATGGGGTGAAAACAATCAGCCGAGCCATGGGAACCGTTGGTCTGAACCAAGACAAAGAGAACAGGAGACCCCGAGGGGACCAGACACCATTGACAGGAAATAACAGCTGCCATCAAGGTACGTGAATAGTGAGCTATATTAGCCTCAAATAGCTAATAAATCAAAGATGCTTTGAAGGTTTTTGGATCCCCAGCCAGCCATCAAGAAGTGCAAACCACAGATGAGACCAGATATTCAAGTACACGAGGCCTTCGATCAGTCCCACACCTGGTTTTCTCAAACTCATGTATAACTAATGCATGCGCGTTTCACCCCTGGACTCTTGTTCTTGCTCACCGCCAACCAGATAAGCTGTTACAGTTTCTCCCACCTGGGAAACCAGTGGCACCCCTGGAGGAAGCTAACACTGAGAACGGCATTGTGTACACACCGTCCAAGGAACTAAGTGCTCTGGGGCTAAGACTGCTTGACCTTGGCATTGAATTCCGCCAGCAAAATTCCGAAGCCGATGCAGAAGAGACAGCACCCCAGGTCTTCGACGACGACAACGAGTTAGAAGAGTCTGAAATCACAAAACAGAGAGAGCTACGAAGAAAGCACAATATCGAGATGGAGCGAGTGAAGAATCGCCTACTTTTGGATGTTCTCAAGACCGAAAATGTGTATACATTTCTGATATTTGGGTCGTAGCGTTCAAAACGATGAGAGTCGCCCGTGCAATCTTGCTCGATGGCAGTACAAGACCAAAACCCTATGAGAAGAATCTCATTGAAGAGAATCAGACAAATGAATATCCGTTTGCACCAAGCAGTGAAGGGTTTCTGGAAGATTTCCCTACTATCCAGGAAACGCTGGAGTGGAACAACCAGGAGGGTTTGACTTCATGGGGTTCGTGGTTATCTCAGCGAAGTGCACAGATTGTGTCGGGCCGCAGGCGTTCAGGTACCCACAGCGAATCAATGACGGGCACTAGAAAGAGGATTTCAAAAACTGTAAAGAGAGGCGATGTTGGTCGGTTTGGTTTGCCAATGGATCTGTGGCGCAAAATTATTGCAGAAACCGTGGGAGCTTCTGATATTTTGACAGCAGACCAACAGATGCAGGTTCTTCGGTATGCATCGAGCTGGCAAGCTATAAAGCAAGAACTGAGGATTAGAGGAGGTACAGAGTTTGAACAGATATGGAAGATCCTAAGCTCAATGGGATGTCTAACATACGACCATCCCTGAGATAGCGAATAGACATACGGCGACTTTGGTTAGTTGTGCGTCGATTGACGTGTTTAATGGGGAACGAGTAAACATGCTCCAGGGAAGCGGATTCAACGGGCAGTAGCAAGTGCGTAGCAAAAATACACCCTTATCTGGTATGTATGCCAATAACCCATTTAAAGCTGCCCTTTGGATACATTCTGGATCTGGTTTAAATTTCCCCTGGTGAGGTTGAATAGACGTCAGATAAACCTTTTTGGGTGGTTGGGAAAGGGGCAGGTTAGTTACATAAGCCTGTACCAACATTGACTATGTTAGTTAGAGAACTTTTCAGGGATTCAGTTTGACAGCCGCCCCCATCGGCTGATGCATAACATCATTTATTTGATTCGTTACCTCAGCCCGTTATTCCGATTCCGGGTTTGAAATATTGGGGATTCTCCCTGTGCGGTTACATATGCCGTTGTTGGTTGATAGATAACCCCCCTCGTCCTTTGGTACTTCAAAAGTTCCGCAAATGGCGAAGACCAAAGGCAATTCTGGAACAAAAGCGCAACCCGCCCTTGAGGACCCTACCGTTGCGCCCGCGACCTTTAATGATGGTCTCCCTTTGCCAAAACTGTTTGTTTTTGACTTAGACTATACTCTGTGGCCGTTTTGGGTTGATACCCATGTCAGTCCTCCAGTCAAGGCCAAGGACAATAATTCGCGATGTGTGGATAGGTATGCGGCATCTCTTATCCTTGGGTATCTTCTTCCTCCGCGCTCCTCTGTTCTGCTTGCATACCCTATCTGGACGCGACTTACCCGCCGTAGGTGATAATGTTCAGACTCTTGGGCCCGACTGACATTTTTCACCTTTCACCTTTCTGGTCTGATGTAGGTGGGGTGAATCCTTCGCCTTTTATCCCGCCGTATCCTCCATCCTCCTTGCATGCCGTTCACGATCCATACCCCTAGGGCTTGCGTCAAGGACACATGCTCCAGATCTTGCGCGTGATGTGCTTAAAGCATTATATATTATTCCGTCCTTCTCGGATAATCCAGCGGCGGCCAATAATCGTCCAGTCCGGGCTTTGGACTGTTTTCAGCATGTGCAGATTTTCCCTGCGGATAAGAGGCAGCATTTTACGCGCATACAACAGGAAAGTGGCATACGGTATGAGGATATGTTGTTTTTTGATGACGAGGCGAGGAATAGAAATGTGCAAACGGAATTGGGGGTCACGTTTTGTCTGGTGAGGGATGGTATGACTCGGGAGGAAGTTGATCGTGGTGTCTGGGATTGGAGAAAGAAGATGGGAGTCACAGCTGCTGATAAAGAAGCGGCAGCTGGGAGACCAGTATTGGATTAGGGAGTCTTGAATATATGTAAAGGGCGATGTCTTAAATATACGACACGGCGTTTGGGTAATGTTGCGGGGTTTTGATTCCAATTACAGAATAGATATTTAAGTACAGCGGTTTATGTTAGGAAAACAATAAAATTAATGCATCAAAGTAGAAATATTCTCCATTACGTTTTGAATTTCTTAATATCTAATAAAGTTAGACCCTTCAATTTTGCATTGCGCAGTTGGAATGATGTAGATGTGTAAACGCGGGTACTCCTAGAGTTTCTACTGTCTTTCACTCGGTGTGTTCAACATCTCCTCTGGTCAAACAAGCAATAGTGTCCCATAGCCAAAATAATATAAATGAACAACAACAACAACAACAACAACAACAATGGCCACAAACCCAGACCACCTCAAACCGTCCTCATCTCGTCCCTCCTCCTACTCGCAAAAGCCCACCACTCCAATGTACAAACCACCCCTAACCGCCCATCCCACCGCAACTGTCCCTGACAGCGCCAGCTTCCAAGGCATACACCCCATTTCCATTGGTGCAGGCACCATAATACACCCGCGCAGCAAATTCCTCTCCTTCGAAGGCCCCATCCATATCGGAGACGGCTGCGTAATAGGCGAAAAATCCGTCATTGGCGGGCCGCAAGCATCTCCGATCTCCTCAACTTCAATGACTGAAGCAGAATCCGCTACCACAAGTACAGAAGCCACAACTACCTTGCCCACTTGCTCATCAACGACAATTACTACAACACTAGAGAAGTCCATAATTATTGGGCCTCTCGCTACAATAAGCGCGGGAACCCATATCTCCTCCGCCGCGACAGTAGATACCTCCTCCTTTTTAGGTCGGGGCGTTCACGTTGGCCAGCACGCGAAAGTGTGTTCTAGCTGTAGCATTCCTGATAGCAGCGTCGTCGACGACTGGACTGTGATATGGGGTGGTGGTGTGGGTGCGGCAAGCAGGTTACAGAGGCGGAAAAGGGTGAATGGACTACACCAGCAACCAAGTGATGAGCCAGGGGTTGGCTTTGGGTCTGGGGCTGCGATTGTGGAGCAAGGGCGGTTGGGAGTGCTGGAAAAAGAGAGAGAGGGCTTGACGAAGTTAATCGGGGCTCGGAGTGCTGGAGAGGTGGGGAGGAGGAAATGAAAATGCCTAATACATTGATTTGCGTTCCTTTACTTTGAACCCTGGATAGATTGCTTCCAGGGTTGTCATGTGCTTTCAGCGTGCTGGATAGATACCCTTGGAATATCAGTGAATACAATCTCAATGCTGCAGTCTATGTCCTTCGCTGACACTGTTCTATACAAGTATTGACGCGGAATTGATGTAAAGAGAAAACCAACGGCCCGTGAGAACCTACGTAGATGCTTTTTGTTCCGGATCAAGGTGTTAATACTGTGCATACGGAGTAGGTATGGATAGGTAATTCGCCCGCTGCTTCGTCTTCTTTTACAAAGGAGAAATGTGGAAACGGCAATTAAAATGGGACAACATAAGCAAATGTTCAAACATGGAAAATAAGGATAGGGAGGGAAAATCGAAAAGAATGATGTCCCTGTTATAAAGTAACACCCTCGAAAACAAGAATATAATAAAAATACCGAGAAAGTGACAAACAATTGCTTCTAGCATGGCCAAAATAATAAAAAAGAAAATATGATATCTCCTCCATTTACCGCAGATACATACATATGCCTAAGACCCCGTTCCGCCTCCACGAATTCTTTTTCCATTACCAACGTCACCACCCTCGCTACCATCATCTCTTGTTCGCTTGTTCCCATGAGGGATAAACTGACGAGCATGGGCATTCAACGCACCCCGTCCACCTCTAGGGCTCTGCTGGCCTTGACCTTGAGGCAGATTCCCTGTTTGGACATTTTGAGCATTACCACGACCCTGGGTACCTCTACCTCGACCAGCTCCACGAGACAGAGCACCGCCTCGGCCCATACCTTGCTGCTGCTGCTGTTGTTGCTGGGATTGTTGAGCTTGTCCTTGTTGCTCGGTAGGTTGAGGGCCAAACGGATTGTGTTGCTGGCCGGTTGGTCCGCTTCGTCCTCTACCACCGCGAGCTACTGGTAGCCCGGATTGAAGGGCACGAAGTACTCCCGGGCCAGTTCCAATTGCTGGGTGATGAGTACTCTGCGGGGGTCTGTTAGGGAGGGATGCACTGGCTTGATTGGGCGGCTGGGCGGGAGAATTCTGGTTAGAAGTGGCCCCCTGTGGCTGTGGCTGTTGCTGCTGTTGCTGCTGCTGCTGTTGTTGTTGTTGTTGAGCGGCTTGAGGTAGTTGTCCTGGAGTTGCTTGTTCGGATTTCTGGTCGACTGGAGGTGAGTGTTGAGCAGGTGCAGAAGATGGAGACGGTTCTGGCTGTGGCTGTGGCTCTCCAGAAGAAGATTGTTGGGTAACCGGCGTTTGAGATCCTTGGGCTGGAGCACTGGCCGGAGTTTGAACTTGGGCTGGTTTTGGTGCGGGTGTTTGAGCTTGAGGTTGAAGTTGAGTCGGGGCCTGGATTGGTAATTGCACTGATGGTTGCGTTGGCCCTACCGGAGCAGGTCGCGCGATTTTAGCAATTTTCCCAAACTTCAACAACAGGCTTTTGCGGTGTTTCTACAGCTGCCTTTTGGACAACCTCGAGTTTGGCTTGAGCATTCCTCGCGCGTCCCTCAGTCATACTGAGCTTAGCAAGGACCCTCTTTTCCGCGAGCTCAACAGCAGAGCCGATCTTTTGGTCTCGTTCCTTAATAATTGCCTCCCTTTCTTCGTTAAACTTCTGCTCCAACTCTTTCATAGCGTCGGCATCTGGAGCAGCAGCAATATGGGCCTCTTTGCTCGTTGTCGATGCTCTCTCTTTGGCCACAGCATTTTTGATGTTGTTTCGCACGATTGCCCTGATCGTCTCGTTTTTAGCCACAAGCTCCCTTGCCTGGGCATCGCTGAGCTCAGGAATGCCATCTGGCTTTAGAGCTGACGCAGATTCCAATTCTTGCTGGTGGCTTGCCTTAAGCTTTTCAACCTCCTCTTTGTGATGCGTCTTGTATTCGGCAAGTTTGTTATTCAGTGTCTCCTTCATTTTATCAACACGTTCTTTAACCTTCTGATCAATGGTTGCTTCCTTTTCAGCAAGCGCAGCTTCCAGTCTCTGAATCTTTTCTTCAAGGGCTTTGATTTTCTCGGCGCTGGGAGCATCAATCCCTTGGGCCATTGTTGGTTGTTCGGGTGCTTGTGGAACATCTATGCCATTCTGCGTGACAGGGGTCGGAGAGGGAGCTGGAGCGGATGCGAGGGATTCAGTTTCCGATACCTTTGCCTTTAGAATATTCAGTTCTTCCCTCGTGCGGTCCAATTCGAGTTGAATTACTTCCTTTTCCTGGATTGCCGTGTTCAACTCCGCTTGTTTGGCTTGAATCCGAGACGAGAGTTCCTTCGATCGTGCCTTAAATTGGTCGGTGAGGGTCGAGCGCATCGTTTGAATCCTCTCCTCTGCTTGTTTAACTTGGTTTGACAAAGTTGTTACCTGGGCCTGAAGTTCATCTCTGGCAGAAACAGCGTCACCTCGTTCCTTCTCCAGCGTGGAGAGCTTTTCCTTCAGCGCTTCCATTTCCTCAGGGTCGACACGATCGTACTTTTGGAGAATGTTTTGTGTCCGTTGCTGC